TAAAATGGAACCAAACACAAATGAAAATAAAATTTATGCAAACCAAAATACTAAAATGCATAGAAACTAAGACCTATGAACTAAAATATTAGAAAAATGCAACCCTACTTAAGGAATTTGTAAAAACTGTTTTACTAGTTTAAAATATACATAAAGATAAGCGAAAAAGTATAGGAAAGCTTTAACTGACCAAAAACGCTTAAAAAAATACACAAGTTGAAACATATAACATAACCTAAACTATGGATCTAATGGGCTAAATGCATTAAATCTTAAAATAACTACTTGATAACTAGAAATCAATGACATAACATCAAAATAGACAAAAAAATGAACAAAACATGCGTAGGAGACCTTGGGCAAAACGAAATGAAACATGCTAAAAAAATTATATTAAAAACCGAACATGGAAATGAATGAAAAATATATGGCATGAATTGAAACATTTGTAATTAAACATTGCATCATACATGTAAGAAACTTTTAAGCATGAAATAAGAACAATAATACAACATGAAAATAGTAAATAAACAGAAAATAAATGTATAGAACCAAAATAAAAAAAATCTAGGCAGAAAACTAAATAGCATAAACTCAAAGAACCAGACACTATAGCACACAAAGATCAAGCTTTTTGAGCCTTATGATGTAACCATCACATTAGCATATGAGGCTATCCTTTCCAAGATTCAAAGAGCTCCAATTTCATACAAGGATTGCTGGAAAATAAATAAGACACAAAACTAAAATCTGGAAACAAAAACTGATAGCATCAAATGTAAACCGAACTTGAAATATAACAAGGAAATACAAGAACGTTTCAATGTTTGCAAGGAATGGAAATTAAACAAACTAAAGAAGAACTTAGAAGGCTATAAAAGTGCTGTAAAATAAACTGGAAATAAGAAGAAAATAGTGTCTCAATGAAGATCTGTTTAGCCAGCAAGTGTGCTACCAACAACCTTGGGAGAGACACCTAAACTAAGAAAAAGGAAAATAAAAACCGAACCAGCCTCCTCCAATCATCCTTCCTAAGCATAAGTCAAGCCCTTACTAAATACATGCAAACAAGATGAAATCATTCCCCAAAAGTCACGAAAAATCAGCAAAGGCTGCCTGCTAGTCACGTTGATGTAAGAAGGTGCAAGAAGAAAAATCATGCTCCAAGCAATGGCAGCTTCGGCCCTCCCTTTTGTCTCCTCAAAATGTCCTATTTTTCAGCCCTATCCTAGGTCCTTTCTCAGCACATAAATGGTTTCTTGAGCCATGCAAACCAGCAGCCATGCTTGACTTTTAATTTTTATTGTGTTCCCACTTGTTGACTTGCACTTTGTTCCTTTTGCTCTCTCTCCTTCTTTGCCGATTCTTCTTGGTATAAAATGAACATCTAAATGTCATCCAATGTGGCTTAATTTTAGCTTCAATTCAGCTCATTTAACAGGTTCAAGTCTTGCAAGAATAATCCCCAAAAAAAGCCCACAAGTGACGCCACTTGATGCTTTGTTTAGCTTGAATTTCCAACCAGCTTTTGCACCAAGTTTGCTTCCAAATTTAACTCATCAAATCAGTCACTTAAACTTGAAATTAACATTTCAAATGCAGCTCCAACTTAGCTCAAAACCAGCCTTGAACTCAAGGCAAATATCATTGCAAATAGCCTTGAAAATTAGTCTTCAATTCCATCCAATGTTGACGCCACTTGATGCTTTGTTTTCTTTAAGTCTTAGGTTAGCGTCTTGCATCCCATTTGGCCTCCACATTTAGCTCTTTAATTCAGCCACTTCACCTTGAATTTACCCCTTCAAGTGTATTTTCAATTTAATTCCCCCAATTTTTCTTTTACATACATATGGGACAATTAACACATTTAGGCAGAAAATGGATTAATTCAAGCAAAAATCAAGCATAGTGTTATAATTTAACATAAAACCCTATGATAATTCTATAAAAAATAAAATTCTCATATATCTAGCATGATGGTGCATATCTGTTTCTTTTATATAGTGCTTGATCTTTCTGAAGTGGATTATAGTCATAGGCTTTAGGATTTTTCTGAAGTGGCTTTTTTGGAATTTATATCTGTGCTATCGTGCTTTTAAGCTTGAGATTTTTATCGTTGCAACACATGATGAGCCCTTTAGAAAGTTTGAAATAAAGAGACTAATTATGGGATAAATTTTGTTGGCATGTGTACCAATGTGATTGGCTTGCTGGTCGATTTTAAGTTAAATGGTGGTCATGGCTCTTTGTGGTTTCTATTGTTGATATGTAGTTCAAAAGGCAAAAACTGATATGGCTGTCGTTGGTTAATATCTACAGGTGAACTTTAAAAAACCCCCATGAATTGTCACCATATTATTGGCAACTTGTCAATTGTTATCTTTTTTCTTCATCTTCAGATATGCAGACATTTGCAGCTTATCTTTCCTTATTTTTTTTATATATCTAGGCTGTTCTGTATGGCTTACTTCTGATGTTAGTTATGTGATGCCATTGTTATCACTTAAATTTTTGTGTAGGATGGTGTTATTCTCGGGGCAAACACGAGCAATTGAAGGACCTATAGTTTGTGATAAGAATTGTGAGAAAATTCATTAAATGGCACCAAACATTTACTGTTTGGAGCTGGAACTGTCTCTGATACAGAGGTAGTTACTGGTACTTTCTTTAATTGGTGTTTGCTATGGTTCTGCAAACATCAGTACTTGCTTCAAATTGCATGCTCGAACACCTAGGTTGTAAAACTGTAGCTAACCATTGTTACGGTCTTATATATAGCTAACCATTGTTACGGCCTTATATATATCGCCAGACATGGTCAGCTTACAGCTCCAGTTACACCGATATCATATTGATAGAGTCAAGGGTTGTTACTGCATTGTCCCTTCTCAAGAGACACCTTGTCAAGTAAAGTTTTTCTGTTTTTAATATTCTTTGACAATATACCTCTACGTAGTCTATAGAGAAAATGTGATTCTAACTGCTTAGCAATTTGCCCAGCTACCAAGGCTATGTTTTAGCTGCTTTGGTACTTGGTGGTGTTGATATCACTGGACCTCATTTGCATACTTTTGAGTTTTTTTTTAACTCTTTGGGGCTTCAAAACAACAGTAGCTTCTTCTCTATTAGTTTGATTTCTTATCACTACAATGGCTAAATTCTATAGATATAACCCCATGGATCAACTGACACACTGCCATTTGTTGCAATGGGTTCTGGTTCAGATAAGGAAGCACTGCAGGCAGGTGAACCTTACTGGAAGCTGGAATCTTGCTTAATACCTAACAATGACTTCATTATGTGGAGTTTCTTTTTTGGCCTTAAGAATTTCAACCTACAAAGAGATTCCTTACTGGTGATAGAGGGAAATGATATGAGGAATGGATTCCTGTTGATTTTGACTGTGTATTGCTTGGTTGCTTGTTAAACTGTCTTAAGTTTTTTTGATAGAAAACTATAGAGTGCTTAAAAAGAATTAATATGTCCGAGAGATAGTTGTATATGGTTTGGAATTTGCACGTGTGGATGTTTATTGGTTTTTATGCAATAATTTTTTGGACAAATATTATTTATTTATGTTTTGTTTGAAGTAAAAATTACAAATATAAAAACTATATACCTCCCTTAACAAATTAAATAAAAATACATATATGAGTACCTTTTGTAAAAATATTAAATCATTTTACTAAATGATGTAAAGTGTCATAGCGAAAGTTACAATTCTCAATAAAAATAATTTTAAATGAGAATCCGTATAAACTTTTAATAAAAATAAAAACTTGAAGTGAAGGTTAATAAAAGCTTTCATTAAATGTCAAAAACATAGTGAGAGTCAAAATTGACTTTCACTATAAATTTTATATTTAGTGATAATTAAAATTAACTTTCATTAATCAATCTTCACTAAATAATAGATATAGTGAAAGTTTTATTTTATCTCTCATCATACATAATTAACAAAAAAACTTACAATGAAAGCTTGTGAGAGTCATATCACTCTCATCAAAAAAATGAATGAGGATTATATGAACTTTTAGTGAAAGTTATAACTCTCGTTAAGAGATTTTATTCTTATGGTGAGTGAATGTGAGATAAGGTGCAATAGAAAAAATTATGATTAAAAATATTAGATTCAAGCTTTTTATAATAAAAATTTTAAACTATTTGTTATTAAAAATAGTAGTAATATATCAAACAAATAATTAAAAATTTTTAATTATTAATTAATTAATTATATAATTATTAAAAGTTATTTACATTAATAAAGTTATTTGAAATTTTTTAAATAAAAAAATTAAAATAAAAGGATAAAAAAAACAAAAGTTATGTCCCAAGAACATTTTTGTCCATACACTTTAATCTTAAGAAAAAAAAAAAGGAGAAAGTAATGTTAAAAACGAAAAAAAAAAGTTGCGGCAAGAAGGGAGAATCCCACTGGAGTCTTTCCCTACGATTGAATTTCTCAAATTAGTGACAGCAAAAGCACTTATTCTATGTTATTCAACTGCCTCTAAAGGTACGAAATAGAATAAAAGGTGTTCAATTCGCATCGCATTAATAATACGTTCAGATTCAAACGGGGCCTAAAAAAATGAAACTAAAAATGGTTGAAAATTCTTACATTTGTTTTAAATGGAAGTTTGCTGAGCAGATCTCTCGTCCCCATTGGTTGGACCACGACAATTCAAACCCCCTCAATAGCCATTCGTAGATTTGTAAAGTAGAAAGGCCAGTGGTATTCTCGAGCATGGTTGGAAGCTTTGCTACGACCATGCAAAGATTGATTGAAATCGAATTTTTGTCATGTGAATTTTCCCAAAATGTTGAAATGACATACTTGATTAATCTCGAATAGTAATTGATGATGAATGTGAGTGCTGTAGAATCAAATTTTATTTTAAATGATAAAAAGTACATATATGGTAAAGACCAAACCTATATGAAACAGAGCTCAAAATACATAGCAATGTTTGGAAATTATGATACAAAAGTTTCACAGCTTACGCTATTTCTAGGCTAATTTCATTCGAAGAAACAAGTGATGTAGTTGGATCCTCATCATTGGGATTGTCATCAACATGATCCTCAGCCGATATTTCAAAAGGAAGTTGAAAAGGTTTTGGAGGCATTTGAAGGAGCTCAACATCAGTTTCAAGCATCTGCAAGGCTTTGTTCATTGAAGGACGATCGTTGGGCTTCACTTGTATACACCAAAAAGCTATTATTACCATCTTCCTCACGATTCTCTTTTCATCAGCTGTAACATTTTCCAATTCAATGTCCTCTCCTCGATCAAATCGATCGTAAATCCATGACGGAAAGTATATTTGACTGGATTGTTCAACAAATGCATTCAAATTCTTTCGTCTTCCCACCATTTCCATCAATAACATTCCAAAACTATAAACATCAGCCTTATGTGATACACCTCCAAGGTTTTTGTAAACTAATTCAGGAGCGATGTATCCTATTGTACCTCGTGCTGCAGTAAGAGATACAATACTTTTCTCTACAGAATACAATTTCGCCAAACCAAAGTCTGAAACTTTTGGGGTAAAATTTTCATCTAAAAGAATATTGTGTGGCTTGATATCAAAATGTAGAATTTGCATGTCGCATCCTTGATGTAGGTATTCAATCCCCCGAGCCACTCCAAGTGCAATGTCAAACATTTTTTCCCAACTTAAATTGACTTTGTCATTTTCTCCTGCAAATATGATCCTATCTAAAGATCCATTTGGCATAAAATCATATACAAGAGCTTGTTTCGATCCTTCCACACAAAATCCAATAAGTTTTGCCACGTTCACATGATGAATCCTCCCAATTGTAGCCACTTCATTAATGAAATCTTGCCCGTTAGATTTTGACTTGTCTAATAATTTTATTGCGACACTATGACCACTACGAAGCTTTCCTTTAAACACCGAACCAAAACCACCTGCACCTAATTTATCTCTAAAACCTCTCGTCATTCTTTTTACTTCATAGTAAGAATATCTAATAGGCATCAAATTATTTTGACTTTGAAGGAACTCTTCAATTGTATCATCTACAGATAAATGTCTTCTTCGCAATTTGTGGGTAACAAGAGCAATCAAGATAGACATCCCCAGTAACATTCTTGATAAAAGTATTCCTCCTAAAGAAGAAAATATCAATTAAAATCCCTTAGTATATGTATTTTGAAAGAGGGCAATATATTGCCTCAAAAAGATCATATGCAACTTATGCACTATGTTCACTACCAGCTTAAACCTTAAAATATTGAATCGCATTAACAGATCATTGAGTTTTACAACGAAAACAAATATAAGCTACCAACAGCGGCGTGGATCGTTGATGGTGTTGGATTCTTGTTCCAGTAATCAGGATTAAAATTCTTGCATCCTCACATACAAAAACAATATAAAGCTGGCATGATCTACTTATAAATTTTTAGATATGTTTTAAATTCAAAGTTCATAATGCTCAATTTTCCAAATATATATTTGCAGAGCTGAAACTTACCTATTGTCCAAAGACAAATAGGATACTTTCCTGCAGAAAAAGAAAACAGGAAATAATATTACTGTTTCAACACAAGGAATTAGGAAAGAGGCAAATCAAATAAGAAGAATAGTAATGAAGTCTTGGAAAAGCATACTCGGAAATGCATGCGAATAAAATCTATATCCAAGGGTGATAGGGGCGTGATGGAAAAGGTAGTACGCAAAGCTGTTAACAAAGTCCAGGAAGACATCCCGCATCACTTCCAACCTGGAGTTTTTTCAAGGCATCCAAGGAAATAGAAATTATATTAGTAAAATTCCAACAAAAAATGCAAAAAAGAGAAAATCAGAGATGTTGAGAGGATAAACAAATAAATAAACAATTTCACGACTCAACCCAAAAACTATATAAATGCAAACTCAATCTAAGTAAAATAGGATTATAGAGAAATTGTTAAAAATTCTTACTTCCGATGAAAAAAGGTCCAAAACTTCGAGTTGCCGCTGGCGCAACTTTCGATCCTCCATGACAATTCAAACCCCAATGATAGGTTTTCGTAGATACCCAAAGTAGACATACCGGTGATATTCTGAACCCTGATAGGAACAGTGGCTATGACTGTGCAAGAAGGATTGAAATCGCGAGGCGCTGTTTGTTCATCTAAAAAGTAAAAGTAAGAAGCAGAAGATGGATCGGAAGAGCTGTTCGGGCAACGAGAGGCATCAACATAGATGCTAGATTTCGATGGTGTTGTGCAATTTACAAGAAACATAACGCTAGGAAAATATAATTGAACTGTAAAATACGATGCCCGACATAAATCGAAGAATCTGGTTGAATAATATAATGAACTAAGAGGAAGAGAGCATGTATTCGTTCCCAGACTCGCATCGACCAGTTGGATTGTATGATAGTCATAATCGATATCTTGAACATAGAATTTCGCATTTTCCAATGCTAAAATCGTGAGGTTTAATTTTTCATCACAATCAAGTTCAAAAATGGGGTCACCACCACACTTGGGAGGTTGGGTTTTTAATCGAAAAGGGTAGTTGATGTTAACGTTTCCGCACATAGAAGAGCCGCAATCCTTGTTTCTGGTTATAGCGATGCAAGTTTCCGGGCATAGAAATAAAGAAATGGTGGCTACGAGGCCAAACAATGGAAGTTGGGGTTTTGGCATGCTAAAAATATGGGTGTGCAAATTAATGGAGAGGACGAGAAGGATAATAACAAGGTTTTATTCACATAGAACATAAACACTGTAACACAAATTTCTTTTTTGGCTATTGACTGTCATTTTTCAAAGTCAATGTGGCTAATAAGTCTTTTTCCTTTTTTAAAAAAATAACTCTTTTAAGTCAAGGATTTTTGGAAGCATTGAAACGATTTAACATTCGGCAGCAATTTCGTGGAAAGTAATGTGAAACGTGATGGCTAAGTCAAGGTCGCGGATATGAATTATGGAACTATACATTTGTTTTGAGACTATTGATAGAGTACGTCGATCCGTCAAACAAGGCACGGCCCACCCCATTAAGAAGTTTCGAGGCTCAGCTTAATACGACTTATTGATCCTCGCTGTGTTGAGAGGAAAATTCCCTTCAAGCTGCGTTTGTCTTCTCATCAAAATATACAGACTCCTTCTTAATCGATTTAATCTCAATAATTTTTTTTATAAAAAATTCGTAGTGTGATGATAAAAAAAATTAATTATAGATATTAAAATTTATTTTTTAAATTTACTAAAATATATTTTTTTTAAAATAATAACGAATTGAATTAAATTTTAAATTTATTTTTTAAAATTCTTTTGTTACATAGAAATTTGAATATAATGCATTTATTTTTCTTTATTTACTCATTCTTTTTCAATAATTTCTCAAAAACTTTTTTTAAAATCCCAAACTTTTCATATCATTTTTCTCTTAAATTAATTAGTCCCAAATAACTTATTTTTAATCCATTTTATTTAATTAAATTTTTTAGATAAATATTGGGACAAGGATTGAAATAGGAGTATGATATTTTTTAAAAAAAATCAAAATATGGTTTTCATCTCTTATATATGATCATTTCTATTTGTGAATTTAAAAATGTGTTGTAACTTGTAATTAAGTTGTTTAATATTTGTGCATTCACTTCTATCTTTGCCATCCACTAAATAATAGTTCTACCTGAAACCACAAGCCGAAGGCAGCCGTTGGCATTCCATACTCGAAATTTAAATCTGATAATTTTGTTCCTCAATTATCAACGATTTTTTTTTCTCAGCCCTCCAAACAACGAGGGGAAGTTTGTGCAGAACGTAGGCAGTGAATCGAATCAGCAAAATAAATTGCTAATAAATAATAATATTATATTAATTAATAATATAATAATAAATATTATTAATTTAATTAATATTATAATAACTTATTAATAAATAATATATTATTAATAAATAATGTTATAATATATTATTAAATAATATAAAAATAATAAATGGTTTTATTTTAAGTATTTTTTATATTAACATAATATTTTAATATTAAATATTATTATTAAAATATAATTATTTTTTAATCTTAATAATTTTAATATTAAATAATTTTTAATATTTTAATATTATTTGAAAAAAATTCAAAAAAAATAAATAATGTAAAATATTTTTCATTAATTCCTTTAAATAACAATAAATTTCTTCTAATTTAAAAAATATAAATATTTTTCAAAAATTATTCTTTGCAAAATAAATGAAATCTTAAACAAAATGCAAATATTGGAGTGCCTTAGTTTAAGAAATCGATTTTCCACTTTTCTTAATAGAACAATCGACTAATCTTCAAGGGTCGTTGATTGTACACATGACTTTTTTTTTAAAATGCTAACTGCTCAAAGGCAGTTGCTAGGGTAGTCAGCTCCTTGCTTCGTTCTAATGGTTTTTTTATACTTCCAAAACATTATTCTTGAATATTCTTGCATATTAAATGATTAAAAAAAATTTTTTTTCTTTAATATGTTTTTAAAAAACCATGTCTTTAATTATATATACAACAATAACCATCCTTAAAAATTGGCACGCGGAGTATTTGCCTTGTCGAGGCCTTTCCCAGAATAAGAGGAATGAATCCTTGGAGTCAACCCGGATGTCTAAAGCTGTTGAAATCTTCTCAATTTTGTCTTAAAGTTTCCGTGATTGGATTATTGGAAAAAGGAATTACAAAAATAGTTACTAGATTTTCTTCATGTTATGATTGGAAGCTTTTCTTTTGCTTGTTTTATATGGTATGTTCTTTCCTCCCCTCAAATTACGATTTTTATTACCAAAATTGTAGTTGATTTGTTGTAGAACTTCCAAAACACCGTGCTTTCGAATACGGACCTTACCAAAGATAACATTAAAAAAAAACTCAAATATAGAATCTTAATTAAAGTTCAACAACCCCGCAAAGCAGAGTCGACAATGCAGAAATTGAGATTCATATATAATACCTTGTCTGTTTTCTCCTTTTCTTATTAATAATCATTCTTCTTGTTCTTTTAGTTTCTCTCCAAAGCAAACCATCAGTTTTGCTCTACGATCAACGATGGTGTCCTTTCCGACTTCGTCTTCATCATCTCCAAAGCTCTTGTTTCGTCAGCTGTTTGAGAAAGAATCCTCTACTTACACTTACCTCCTTGCTGATTTCTCTCACCCTGATAAACCAGCCCTTGTAAGCCTTTTTTTTTTAGTTTATACTTATGTTTTTCTCAAGAAAAAAAAAAAAAACTGGGTTTTGTTTGTTTTGGGGTTTTTAATAGCATTTGATATGATGAATTGGATGTGCAGTTGATTGACCCTGTAGACAAGACTGTTGATAGAGATTTACGTTTGGTTAAAGAATTGGGGCTGAAGCTTATATATGCCATGAACACTCATGTACATGCTGATCATATCACTGGAACTGGCCTCATAAAGGTTTTCTCCTTTTCACTTTCACTCTTCAATTTCTTTTTTTGGTCTATCACTAATTCCATTTTTGTTGCTTAGATTGTTTCCTATAATATAGAATCCAATCTTCTTCCCTAAACCTCAAACTGAGACAGTCGAATTGAAATTTTAGGTTCTAACCATATGGGGGATGGATTTTGCTGCTCAGATTGATGTATATAAATGTGATTGTTTCTTGTAGGGCAAGGCACCTGGCGTTAAATCTGTTATTTCAAAAGCAAGTGGTTCCAAGGCTGATGTTTTTGTTGAACCTGGTGATAAAATCTTTTTTGGAAATCTCTTTCTTGAGGTAGGCATGCGTATGCCAAACTGCTTTTGGTGTCATTTTCATTGTGTGGATCTTTTCAACAATAGTATAGAATACAGCTATGATGTTTGCGTTGTTTTCGAATTTCTGACATGCTTTATAATTTAATACAATGGGGTTAGAGATGTGACTGAGTAAGGTGTTTACTGTGTAGATACCATTATCAGCATTCTCACGGATTTGTTATTTGACTGGTATTTTGGTTTTGATGGTTGGAAAATTCTAGTGGGTGGTAATGAGCATTTATTTTAATAATGGCCATTTGATATACTGCTGCACTATTTTCTGTTTAAGTTCTTGGTCTTTGCATCTAGCTGTTAGATCAATTTCTTAGCTTAAAGGAGGAGAAATAGTCACATTAGTTTATTCATTCAATTCCTTACACCATTTCATCGACTTCGCAACATTGCAGTTTGCAAGGCATTTGATCTAGTTCTTGCTAAATCAGTTTAAGAATCAGATGGTTGATGGACCATGATCAGCATTTTAATTTTTTCATTTTACCTTAACCAATTAATTCTGAATTATTGTGAAACTATCATGCCTCTTGAGAACAAAATTCAAGTAACCCTGACTTTCAAAGAATAGCTTCGGCTGTTAGAAATATATGCAGTGTTACTTTCATGATGCTTACTGCATTGAATCAGAAACCTATGATCCAACTAAACATAACAATCCAAATAGCAAGAGAATCATGATTCGTTATGAACTTGAGTACACTTTAGTAATCGTAGCTGGTATGTTGCCTTCGTGACTTGAAATACCTATTTCTAACAGTCTTAAATGTAACTTTAATTTTCTCTCTTGACTACTGAGCCATTAGCAAATTGCCAGATTTCCAATGGCTTTTTTTGGGTTTCAAACTTCCAGTCTGGTCCCCTGATAATATTAATACAACAGAAAATTTTCCTCTCTTGCCTTTTTTTTGACAGATCGGCGAAAGTGCCTGCTTGTGATGAAATTTGATTTATGACAGGTCCATGGTTTTAGGATAAATATCTATATGCGACTCGCTCTACATTTTTTGTTCATATTTGATTCTGCAGGATTTTGAAGGAAGAATATTCTTTCCCGGAGTTTCTAATAGCTGAGTGTTTAGAAAACTTGTTTTAAAAAATATGGTTACATGTATGATATCATTGGAATATCATTGATTTATGAAGAACGAGTGGTCGATGTGGAAAATATCCATCGTCACAACATATGTTGCACCAGACTGATCTAGACTACTACATCATAAACTGTTTTCTGAATGATATGTATAACTGCAGGTTCGTGCTACTCCTGGTCATACATTGGGCTGTGTTACCTATGTCACGGGTGAAGGACTTGATCAGCCTCAGCCAAGGATGGCTTTCACTGGAGATGCCCTACTGATAAGAGGCTGTGGGAGGACAGATTTTCAGGTATAATGTCTTGAAAAATGTATTGCAGTTTGATGCAAAAAATGATATGAATTAATATTAACACTGTTAATATCAAACAATCAAAGTCATTAAGGATACTAGAACAATCTAACATATTAACCTAGGGTTCCTTATGCAAACCGACTCCTTAACATAATCAAACATCACCAGCCTTGTTGTTGAACCTGAGTGAACTGTCTGCTGTTCCTTTCACGCCAAATCTGATTGATAAAAGTTTTCCAAGCTATCCTTAGTGTGGTGGAAATAAGAGCCCTCCCTTTAAGTCTGGTTGTGGCCCAGTTAAGTTCTTTATTCCAAGTTGCAACTCGTCTGTTCAGCTGGAGAACATCCTGCCATATGCATTTAGAAAACTCAAATTCAATAAGAGATGATTTCTGGTAGGCAATCTGCTAAGGATGGCCGTCCAAGAGATCAATGAATGTTTAGGAGTGTAATATTGAAACCAAAACAATCTGTCTTAGACATCTTTCAACTGCTTTGGTCTTAATTCTTTCCACACAGGCTACTGAGTAATTGATTCTAGGTTTAAACCAAATTGCTCACCCATCCTGTTGCCTGATGAACTACCTGGCCAAGTCTCTGAGCTGCAACAACTTCCTCCACTTCCAACTGCTTCCTTGGGTAATCGAGGCCTGCCAAATGGATCTACCCTTAAGCACATAGGCCTGAATCTGGGCAACCCACAATGACCCTGCCTTGATGAAAACTAAAATAATATTCTTTTTGCTTTGATTTTCAGTCTCCGAGTATCACAGTGTGATTGTTTTATATGTGACAGAAATATGGCGACTTCTTTCCATATGGATGAGAATTTCATTCATATTTGGGTTTTTTTCCAAGATGTTGATTCTACTTTAGTTTTTGAGATAATTTCCTTAGTTTTTCAAGGTTCAGCACCAATTGACTAGTAGCAATTAACTCTTTGTGCAGGGTGGAAGTTCGGAGCAACTCTACAAGTCAGTGCATTCACAGGTAAGGATAGGATATTTATTCTGGGCCTTTTCTTTGAGAATTGCTCAATTATTTCTTTTAATATTTATCAAAACTTTAAATTAAAAATATGTACATTTTTGTTTCATGGATCCAGATTTTTACATTGCCCAAGGACACATTGCTATATCCAGCTCATGATTACAAAGGATTCGCGGTAACATATAACTTGATTCATCTAGTTTCTTAAATATGCAAATGGTTGTTTGCTTATATAAACTCATTGATTTTAGGTAACTACGGTGGCAGAGGAGATGCTATACAATCCTCGCTTAACAAAGGATGAGGTATGCTTTTCTTTAACAATTTATCTATCCTTTTCTGTGGGAAATACATGATATAGTCTGTATTATCAAATGGCAATAGAACCCTTCGTTTCCTTTCTTTGGCTATAGAATACTTGTTCCAGTTTATCCTATCAGGCTGTTTGATAATTATTTGTTGAACGCCCTTTTGCAGGAGACATTCAAAAGCATCATGGAAAGTAAGTTGCTCAATATTCCCAGTTTCTAGGAATAAAAAATTTTGCATCTATGAGTAGTTTCTGATAGCGAATTCTAATTTCTCCTCCTTTTCCTTGGTGCAACAGACCTTAACTTACCAAAGCCTAAAATGATTGATGTAGCAGTGCCAGCAAATCGCGTTTGTGGATTGCAAGATTTGGAGTGTAAAGCCAGCTGAGGCTTTACTGTGCTATCCACATATGCAGAGATATGATTCGTAGCATAATTCCGGGTCTTGACATCATTGAATGTGCGAAAAATGGCTAGGGATACTACTTCAATGTAAAATATCAATAAATAAACCATCAAATAAATGAAGGAATAAAAAAAAAAAACTGTACTACTCCATAGGGGGATCCATGCATTGAAGTAAGTTGTCCATAGATACATTCAAAGATTGGAGAATAAAAGAATTTGAAGAAAAATTTTATTCTAGACATTACAAAATTTTTCCTTGGATATCTTTTTTATCAATAAAATTGATAAATTCATGGATAGTTTTATATATAAATATATATTATAAGTAGATACAAAAAATTCTGGATACTCTATTGTAAGCTTGTAACAGTATCAACTCTGACTCTGCATTTCAACCCGTATCGTTTATGCATACCGTCTTTAAGTTACTGGTTTCCTCAGCTTACTTCCTCGGTAAAGCTGTGTGGAAAGAGAGTGGCAGACTCAACTGAGTTTTTGAATGTTTTCTTTCCTTTTTTATGGAAAATCTGAATTATGAGGGGTTTTTTTTTTTTTAACAAAGAAGTCTTATTATAGGAATAAAGAAAAAGTTGCATGGGTTGATACTTAAATGTTAATATATTAAATGTTATTTGTACAAATAATTATATAAATTAATTGAATCAAATTTTAAATTTTTTAATATGTTAATTTAAATAAATCAATTTGATGTCTAAAGTAGAGATGATTATCCAATCCGAATTCAATAAGTTTCAATCCGATTTTATAAAATCAATTTTTTTTTAAATCAGATTTTCAATCGGATTTAATAATAATTAAAAAAAATTGAGATCAAGTTTTTAGTAAACTTGTCCCAAGTTGATCTAGTATATATATATATATATAATTTTTTTAATTATTTATTTAATATTATATGTATTTTTTTATATTTATATTAAAAACAATAATTTTATAATAAAAAATAATATTTTATTAATTTTTGATTGAAACAAATTAAATATAATTTTATACAATATCAAATTTAAATATTTAAAAAAAATTAAATCGAATCAAATTCAAATATTAAAAATATAAAATTGAATCGAATTCGAAGTGAGCAAAAATTCGATTTCATTGCCTTCTTAGTCTAAAGCACTAACAATCTTACTTCTTCCTACCTTTGTTGCAAAAATTCTGCTACAATCTCCGAAGACGTGATACCTCGGTATCTTCTCGTCTTGTCCTCCAATTTTTCTTCCAGATTTCCCAGTTTTCATGTTTAAAACTTTGTTTTTCATGGACCCAACATATTGTCAAATTCTTCCACGTGAGGTTTTAAGGTGGTTTAAATCATAGCTAGGCCACAATCTGATATGGACATGCATCCATATCCTTTATTATGGACCTACCATGGTTTATAATATTAATTGTTAGATACTCACCAATATGCCTTACATAGACATCTTAATTAGTTTATGGCACAAAATAATTGTATTTTCTTTTCCTTCATATTACAATCAATTTGGGGAGAATAAATCTTGTTTTGGTTATAGCGTAATTTCTACGGTTAAATAGTACTACCAATCTTGAAGCAAAAGGCTACATTTTAGATTTCTTTTTTCTGAATCTTCATTTTGATCCAAGTAACAAAGATTAAGCTAAGATTTAATTAATTAAATGAGCTTCTATTTAAATGTTTATCCCAATAATAACATAAATGTAAATAAAAAATGAATAAATAAAATTACAAGGTTTCTAAATCTGATCCCACCACCCCAAAAACAAAAACCTTAATACAGGCCAACCCTTTTTTCTTCTTTTTTTTTTTTAAATTTTTTCTGTCCTTAGCCTTTGATACAGTGACTAAAGAGGACATAAAAAATTTGATTTTGAGCCAAAGCTGTGTCGCTTTTTTCGGGGGCTATTCCGTGGGTTATGTTCATTCTATCTAAAATGTAAGAGAGGAACCATTTCTTTTCCTAGTTGATCCATCAACATAACCAGATCCCATTTCCTAAACAAAAATCACCCAAAGAGAAAAGACAAGATGAGTGGTGAAGAGAAAAACAGAGCTGTAGTTGTAGATCACCAGCATCACCAATATGGAACTTTCCAAGGAGTAGCCAACTACCCTCCACCACTTCCTCCACAGTACCAGCACCATCACCATCACCATCAGCCGGCTATTGGGTTTCCTGAGCCTGTTCCACCTCCTGGCCTACATCAGCCCTCTGCTCCTTCTGCTCCTCAGTATTACCCCCAAGGTTATCAAACCGTTCCAGGTACTCTTAAAAAGAAAAAACTTTGTTCTTTGTGATTAGTCAATTAAAAGGAAGGATTTTGCTGTTGGGTTTTTGTTGGATGGAAGAACTAACATGTTCTTTAAGGTGAAAGATCCAAGTTTTTGATGTTTTAGAGTAAAAGGTGTTTAAATATTGGGAGTTTCATAGCAGACAAAGAAGAGAGCTAAATTTCATAGATCTATAAGCAGCTTTGATCTTTTATTTTCGATGTAATAGAAAGACTTCCTTATTCTTGGGGGATGAATGAAATTTTTAAAAGCAAGAATTTTGGATTTGGATTTTTGATGGATGGAGGAAAAAAAAATTATTTTTAGGGGTTGTGACCTGAATAGGGGTGGGAAAGATCCAAGCAGAGATATTTTACTGTAAAATTTATAATATTTAATTAGAATGGAAGGAGATTTCAGAGAAAGATGGGAGAAAAAAGCATAGATATAGCATATAAGTCATTAACCAAATCCTTCTAAAATACGTAAATAGCTGGGTTTAATCAGGGTATTTTGACTATAAGGTAGAAAATTACCAATAACGATCAATAAACAACCTTGAATTTGAATGAAACACACATAAAACCTTTCCGGAACTGGTGCAAAACTCTGGATTTGACCAAACTGATCTTAGATGCAAGAACATGTTTTATAATCATGCATAACTTGCTTATATCATATGTGAGAGTATGCCCCATGTGATGAAAAACTTAGGCTGCTAACATTTGTGCGAAAAGGTAGAATGTTGTGCTTCATGGATGCGTATCACTAAGTCAGTGTAAGATTGATATATTTTGTAATTAAAGTTGGTGTTTCCTAGCTTTTTATCTTGTATATAAATGTATCAATAACAATTTTACATGAACTGAAATGGTAATTCTTCTGATTACACCTGCATCATGTGGATGAAAAATTTTTATTCTAAGTTGCTTTCGTCCATGATATCTTTGATGTCTAGGTTATGCTGTTGCTGAAGGAAGACCAGTAAGAGAGCATCGCCTACCGTGCTGTGGCATTGGTGTTGGATGGTTCTTGTAAGTCATACATAGTTTTCTTGTTTTAAGTGTTTTTTAAATATAAAGTCAAACAAATAACAACTTAATGAATATGTCATTGGGCTGTAAATTTAACAAACTATTTTCGTTTATCTTCAATTATCATGGGTTAATAAAAAAAACTCCAAAAAGAAAAACAAAATAAAAAGAGTGAAGGTACAGCTTGGACAAATGGGAAGTTAATATACTGTACTATTTGATTGGAAGTATTCTGTCATATTGGAAGGAAAATTATATAAGAAAGCTGTGAGGGGATAACTATGGTTTAGAGCATTTAGTTTTTGGGGTCTAGGAAGAGACTTGTTAATAGGATAAGTATGATCATAGTTAGAATGTTGAGGTGAATGTTTGCATGTACAAGAAAACACAGGATAAGAAATGCAAGGCAGATACGGCATCATTGAACCTTACTTGACAATCACGTCTTAGATGGTTTTTTTCATTTGCAATTGCAAATAATTCGCAGTATGTTAACTATACCATGTTCTTATTCATGCTGAAATGGCTCGAATTTAATACCATTCTATAGCAGCCTAATGCCATAAACATAGGTAAAATGTTTAACTCTTCATGTCGGCTTAAAGCTACCATTTCCATGATACAGTGTGGTTAAGGAAGTGGCTGCTAGATATCCCAAAATGTGGAAATCTTTTAAAGTGGATTCAATTGACTCTTGGATGTGTACCCAAAACCTGATATTGTTACTCAATCCACATGACATATAGTTTTATAAAAATTCACATAATATTTATTATTATCTTGGTTATTCTTTTCCGCAGTCTTAGCTACCACTTAAGTATTTTATGAAATTTAATTTTTTCTTGATTTATAATAAAGGCATATTTCTTTTAAGGTTTATCATTGGTTTCTTCCTTGGGACCATCCCCTGGTACATTGGATTGTTTGTTCTACTCTTTGCAAGGATAGACTACCGAGAGAAACCAGGATATATTGCTTGCACAATTGCTGTGAGTATCTTTTCTTTCATTTTGTTTTCAATTTTATGACTGCTGTGCTGCTTTGAATAGATCATCGACTTTGTCATTATATATGTTTGTATTAGTGATAGGTGAGAAAAAAAACCAAGAAAATAGAAAACTGATTCGAAACTGTAATATTCAATTTGGTTCGGATTGGTTTTTTCTTATTCAGTTCGGATATTAAATGTACATATTAAATTTGGATTGAATTTTGATCAAGATGTGCAAAACAAAAAAAAAATCGAACCGAACTGAGTTATATATTAGTTTTAATATATATTATAAATTTTTATAAAATAAAATAATTATTTTGTATATAAATCTATTTAAATATATTGAAAATCGTATTAAAATAATATATCAAAAAAATTTTTTTAAAAACCAATGAATCGAACCGAACCGATAGAATTCAAGTCAGATTAGATCGGTTTCAAAGAGCAGGTTAGCTTGAATTCAGATCGGATTTTAAGAATTTATAATATTATGCATAATCTGAAAAACTGAACCTAACTGAATCCAACCCAATCTGAACCGCTATCACCTGTAAGTGCTATGCTTTATTTTCTATGTAAATATATTATCTTGTAACGGCTGTTGTATCTTTTAGGCTATGGTTTATCACCTAAAATTCACATCTATCTTACATTCTTATTGATTTTTATCAGGTTCAATTAATTTTTTATTTTCCATCTAAAAGATCAGAGAAATATAAAAGATCTGAAGATTGAGTCTATAAGTCTGAATTAGTGAACAGATGAAAAAAACTAATCTAGAGAGTTTCAATTGGTAATAAGGTTGTTCAAAGGCTTTTTAATTTAAAAGTTTTATTATCTGAAAATGATATAAAACTAAGTGGCAGTACTTGCATAGGTTGTTTACTCGTTGCTGGCTCTTTGCATTCATATCAATGTGCATAACTGGGGTTCTGAATCAGGACAGGGGAGTAGATATGAATTTAGAATCGAAATGCTAGTATTGAACTTTTAGAATACATATTTGAGTGTGTGATCAGAGTGGAAACTTGGGGTAAGGGAAGCAGGTGGAAGGGCACCATGTGCTGCTATAAAAGGCTTTTCCTAATAAAGGAATCTCAAAAATTGCACATGGCAAAGTTCTTCCTGTTATCAATGTCTCTGTCTATAGGTTGCATGTTTAGAAATTGGATTCTGCATACGATGCTTGCGAGGTTTAATAATCTCTAAATGTTTTTTGCATTTCAAAGTCCTGGATCTGATTTCAGATTTCACGCTATGTGCTGTCCAGGTTTGATAATTTTTTTTATCAAGATCACATTTTCTTAGTTGATCTGTGGAGTTACTTCTCAATATGTGAATGTGCTGCTACCCAGGAGCAATCTATAAATGGGTTAAGCCCTGCTCGGCTCCCTATCGACAAAGTCTAGTTGGAAAATCCTTGTATTAGTATTTGTCCTTCCTAAGAACTTTTCCTTTTGTTCATTTCTTTTTTCTTTTTTTAAGTCGTTATCTGATTTACAGAGATGATCTTCCATGCAGCTTTGCTTTTGTAACAATGTTTCTTCCAAGTAAACTGGTTGTGCTTCTTGTTTAGCTCATGTTTTCAAGCCATTTTCTTTAGGTGTTTATTAAACACCTACAGAGGAATGAAAATTTTTGTTGTCTCTCTTCCTCCAGTGAGGTTCTTTCAACAACCATTTTAACAAGACTGCTGCTTTTGCAGGCCATTCTTGCTACAATTGCAATTATTCTTGGTGTAACGATGGGAGTTGATGATTGGTAAGCTCTTCTGAGATGTATAGGCTGGAAAATAAAATATGTCTTTTAATGAAAGTTATCTTTATGAGAACTTGCTAGAAGAGTTTGTGAGAACTATAATCATGAATGATGGAATATTCGTAATGTTTATTTATCATCAATGCTCTGAGTTAATTTTACTCCATAAACTTTTATGAAGATTTGTTAAGCAAATACATAATATATATTGTGCTAAGTTGTATGCATGGTCTGCAATATAATCTTATACTTAGAATACGAGTATCGATTTGTGGTTGATCTGCACAACCTTAACCCTAGGAAGCTTTATTTTAGTACTTTGTTTCCCAATAATATCAATACAATTATCAGAAATCTTCAACACTTGATAACATTTTGGGTGATGAAATGAGGAATGTTAATTGGAAAAGTACTAGAAGGGATCTAAACTCCGTAGAAAAGAGCTAGTAAATCATTGGTCATCTATATGTATGGTTGAATTACACCTGTTTCTATCATTTCAGTTTTACTTCTGTAGTGGTAAATAATATAGCTAACAATGATGGTTATGAAAATGGGTAAAAGGGAAATGGAGAGAAATAGAACCATTTTTAGGTGCAAAATGGAGATGAAAGAAGGTAGAAAATGCAGATTTTCCTCAATTGGATTGTGCTATCAATGTTCATTTTCCTTTCTAATTCTTATACTCTTACCCAACTTATTTTGAATGAACTCTAATCAAAGACATTATTATTCATAACCGTGAAGTGGTGCGAAATTATTATGTTCGGTAAGAAAAATGGAAAGGGAGGAGGATGATTTTTTTTTTTTTTTAATATAAAGGATGAAATTCATAATAATTTGTATTATTCTGTAGCTCAGATTAAAATTTTTTTCTTTCTTGTTTTTTAGGTCCCAGTAATTCTCCTTTCCATGTAAAAGAAGTGGAAAGCAAAAGACTTGCACTTGCTTCTAATAATCCTGATTGGAACTTGAAAATTTATGTAAACTAAAATTTGATCCCATTCGATTTGATTATAAAAAAATAATAATTTAAATCTGTCTAATTTGAATCTGAATTAATCTGAAAAATTAAATTAAAATAATTTAAATTTAAATTAAATATTATTTTATTTTTAAAAAATTAATTAATGAAAATAATCAATATAATACAACGTATTAATTTATTTTAATTTTATAACTTTAAATTATCTTTTAAAATCTTTTGAATTTACTATTTCAAATTGTATCTATTATTATAATGTAATTGAAATGAATTTTTATGTTTATTAGTATATATTATAAATAATGTTCTTTATACTTTTTATTTTGGTAAAATAATTAAATAGATCGATACTAAATTAATTATTTTAAAACAAAAATAATTAAAAATAATTCAATAAAACTAATTATAACATTTATTTTTAAATATTTTACTACAAACTTCATACAATAAAATCATTACTTTTAAAAATAGCTAAAAAAATATTTTAGTTATCAATTGATCAAATATAAAGTTAGAAACAATCAAAATAAACTGATAAAAGCAATAAGATATAAATAAAAATTAAAAAATTTTAGTTATTAATTAAGCAAACATAATTTGAACCTTTACCTATACGAGATTTTATTCTGTTTCTCATTCTCCTTCTCTCTTATTCTCACTCTGTGTTACATCATTGTTAATCCCTTAGTCAGTGACACGCGCACGTCGCTTTCCTTCTATTTTTCTTCAATTTCTCTCTTATGTTCTTTTCATTTTCATATGAAACATGCAGAAACTCTTCCCTCGAAAGTTTTTTTACTTCTCTACTTTTTTTTCCTTTTTAAATTGTTCACTCCTTTAAATGTTCTCTTTTCTTTTTTCCCTTCACGTTCCCTAACCTCTATCTTTTTTTTATCTTTTATATTTTGTCTTCACATTTCTTTTTCATTTTTGTTATTTTCTTTCCATCCATCTATTGCTCCTTTCATTCCTCTATTTCTCGCTTTCATTCCAAAATTTTGACTCATTCTTTCACTTTTCTTAGGCATGTTTCAACAAAAATCTTGCAAAATTTGTCTTATAAGTGATAAATTCAACTAAGTTAAAATATAATAATAAAATTCAATGTTTACCCATTATATAATAGCAAAGTCCAACTTTAATTTGAAAACAATCCATCAAAGTTATATGATGACAAACACATGTATTAAAGTCTTATGAAAGACGTGATCACATAGCTCATGTTTAGGGACCACTAGATTTATATAGAAAAATTACAAATTAAGGTGTTGGGAACCTCAATATTTTTTATGTATTGCCATGGCAAAAAATTTAATAAAAAGGAAATATCAAGTTACAAAATTAACGATGGGGCTAATACTTATAATTAACGAGTTTCTTGGTAATGGCATGTACATGTATGCTTTTTTTTTTTTAAAAAAAAAAAGCATATAATTTTTTTTTATGAAAGTTTGGAAAAGGTAAGCAAAAACTTATTTATGAAAACTTAAAATTAATATAAAAAGGCTTTGGATCTTACTTTTAAATATAGGATTTTTAAACCCTAAAACTAACCCAAGTATTAGATTAGCTTACATGTACAATGGTTTTTTAGACTCATAAAAATTTAATTTGCTTTTTATTATGCTATTTTATGAAAGTTTAGAAAAAGAAAGCAAATGCTTATTTATGAAAACTTAAAATTAATATAAAAAGGCTTTGGATCTTATTTTTAAATACCTAAAACTAAACCAACTATGGGATTAGCTTACATGTACAACAGTTTTTTAGACTTTCATAAAAATTTAATTTGCTTTTTCAAATAATTTTTTTATTAAAGTTTAGAAAAGGAAAGCAAATACTTATTTATGAAAAAATTAAAATTAATATAGGAAAGCTTTGGATATTATTTTTAAATAGAGTTTATATTTAATATATTGTCAATGTATAAATTTTATACATTATCAATGAATAAGATGATGATAATTTATTAATGAGATGAATCCACCGATAATACCTCGTTAATAAATAAATTTTTTAAAAAAAATTAATTGAATATATTTATTTTAAAGATTAATATTGGTTCATTAATAAAATATTATTATCTAATTCACTAATAGTGTAAGCAATATAAACTCTTTTAAATATAAGATTTTTAAACCCTAAAAACTAACCCAAGTATGAGATTAAATTACATGCACAATGATTTTTTAGACTTTTATAGAAATTTAATTTGCTTTTTCAAAAAAAATAATAAATAAAAGTTGTACATATAAGCTAATCTTATTGTACATATACGTCTGGTAAGATATATATATATATATATATATATATATATATATATATTACAAGCATACATGAAAATGCCAAAACCCAATAAACTTGTTAGTTATGAGTATAAGGGTTAAAAGCAATTTTGCAATCACTAATTTTGTAACTTGATATTTCTTTTCTATTAAATAATTTTTTTCATAGTGGAAACTAATAAATATTTTGTTCCCAACCAAACTTTGTAATTCTCCCATCAAATATTTTAATTTTCAAAAATAAAATAATATACAAACAAAGATTTTTCTTTCCATTCACATTTTTTTCTCCACCAGAGTTGGTGTCTTTATCTGCTGCTCTTGCATAAACACCTCAATTTACTCTGCAAACTTTTCTCAATCAAGAAACATGGAAAATTCCCTTGTTATAATTAGAGCTTTTCTTTCTTTCCTTCTTGTCGGGGTATTGATGATATGGGGATGGAGAATTTTAAACTGGGTGTGGCTGAAGCCAAAGAGGCTGGAAAAGTGCTTGAGGCAACAGGGTCTAACAGGAAATTCTTACAGGTTTTTTTCTGGAGACATCAAAAAGCTCTTCACCATGAGCAGACAAGCAAAAGCCACACCTATGGCCCTCGGTGATGATATTGCCCAATATGTTTCTCCTTTCCTTTGTCAAACTGTCAAGAATTATGGTTTGTCAAAGCTTATATGGTTTACATTGACCAACTCCATGATATCAGATTGTTATTTTTTCCTAATTTTTCTGCAATTTGTTGGGGAAATTGCAGGCAAGAATTCATTTTGGTGGATTGGTCCGAGACCAAGGGTGATAGTTATGGATCCTGAAGAGGTAAGAGAGATACTTACCAAATTCAATGACTTTCAGAAGTCGCATACCAACCCACTTTTCAACTTACTTATAAGTGGGCTTGTAAATCTCGACCAAGACAAGTGGGCTAAGCATAGAAAGATTATTAACCCTGCATTTCATCAAGATAAGTTGAAGGTATATGCTTTATTTATTTTCATTTTTCATTTTTTTATCAATTGGCTTGCCTTAATAACTTCTGTTTGTTATTATTATCATTATCTCTTAGTATGTAAGGATTCAATTTTACTATGTAAGGATTTTGAATTAAACAAAAGGGTTATGTTTTCAAATTCCATATATAATTCACATCTCACTCTCTTAGGATTTGGATTCAAGACCTGCAGAATAAAACTTTAAGTTCTAATTGTTATGGTGTTAGTGTAAAGAATATAAAAATTTGATCTGCAGATCTTGCGTTAATTTGATGCAGATTTTTTATACATTTTATGTTAGTTCGACCAATTATTTATGGATCCAATAACATTTACTTGACCCCACTCCTACACAGTTCATGTTGGAGTTTTTAAAGAGAAGAATGCAGAGTAAATTAAATGAGAAGTTGTGTAAAACTGAGTGGGGAGGAAAAAATTCTCTTTGATCATGTTTTTGCAGAGAGTCCTTAATGAGGAGTAAGGTACTATTGCAACTGAATAAGAGCAGGACTCATTAATCCTTGGTTGGTTTGTTCGAGTGTTGTGGCTGATGATGAAGCCTTTATGGGAACACCTAGAAATTGTAGTAATAGTGGATAAACACCGAGATATTATGGTTACCTGCACCAAATTAACTTATTGCAGTGAAAGCAATAAGTTATGTATATCTCTTTGCTTGAAATAGTTCCAACTATATATTCTTTTCCTCACTTGGAAATTATTGCAGAATATGTTACCTGCATTTTATCAAAGTTGTATTGAGATGATCAGCAAATGGGAGCAGATGGTGTTTGTAGAGGGATCTAGCGAGTTGGATGTGTGGCCTTTTCTTGTAAATTTGACAAGAGATGTGATTTCCCGAGCAGCATTTGGGAGCAACTACGAAGAAGGAAGACGAATTTTCCAACTACTAGAGGAGCAAACCAATCTTACAATGAAAGTAGTACAGTCAGTTTATATTCCAGGATGGAGGTAAAATTAGTTACTTTCAAGTTCAAGAAATAAGTTATCCAAGATTCGTTTTTCTTTCTATTTTTCCCCTTTAGTTTTTTTCACTCAAAAGCATATGGATTTAAGCTTGTGGAAAAGTTAACAAATAAAACTGTGTGAAAAATTAAGAGTAAAATTGAAAAATTTTCTTAAGAAGTATACAAACACCTTAGGTTTTATATACAACTAATTAGAGGGTAAATTATAAAAATAAATCTTCCTAAAATTGATCATGTACTTGAGGAATTATCTATTCTAATTTTTTGTCCTTAATTCTAGAGATGCAAATACTTAATTTTAGGGATTTAAATATAAATATATAAGATTACAACCAATTATAACTAAGTGTTTTCCCACACTCTCTCTCAAGTTGGTGAATAGGGGTTTTTCATTCCTAGCTTGGAGATAATTTCCTAAAATGTTACACTACTGAGACCTTTAGTCAACACTTCTGCAAGTTGATCCTTGGCTGATACATACGGTGTACAAATCAACCCATTGTCTAGTTTTTTCTTTGTGAAATGTCGGTTTACTTCAATGTGTTTTGTTTTGTCATGTTGCACAGGATTACATACAATGCTTATTGCAAACTTGTTATCACAATAGAGTCTCCTTGGTCTATCCCACTTGATCTTCAAGTCTTCTAAGATAATTTTTAACCATAGTAGTTCACAAATTCCTTGAGCCATTGCTCTAAACTTTGCTTTAGCACTTGATCTTGCCATCACATTCTGGTTTTTACTCCTTCAAGGCACAAGATTACCATCTAGGAAAGTGCAGTAGCCCAAGGTGGATCTTCTATTAGTTATTAAATCTGCATAATCCGTATTTGTATATGCTTCTAAAACTAGCCTCGAATTTTTTTGGAGGAAGATACTTCTCCCAAGATTGGCCTTCAAATAATGTAATACACAGTAGACAGCCTGTAGGTGCACTTTTTTAAGACTATGCATAAATTGATTTATCACACACACAACATATGCTATATCAGGCCTAGAATATGAGAGATAAATGAGTCTTGCAACTAATCTTTAGTACATCTCTCTATCTATAACAATATCTTCATTAGTTTCTCCAAGTTTATGATTAGTATCTATAGGGGTATTTGCAAGTTTACATGCAAGCTTCCTAATTTCCTTCAAAAGATTCATCACATATTTCTGTAGTAAGATGAAAATACCATGTCGTGAGTGAGCTACTTCAATTCCTAGGAAGTATTTTAATCTCCCTAACTTTTTTTATCTCAAATTCTCTAACCAAACATTATTTTAAAGATTCTCTCTCTTTTTTATCATCTTCGGTTACAATTATATCATCAACATACATTAATAAAACTATGACTTTCCCCAAATCCAAGTGCTTGATAAACAGTGTGTGATTTTCTTGACTCTGTTTTTATCTCATTGCTAGCATCACTTTGGCAAATCTCTCGAACCAAGCCCTAGGAGATTGTGTAAGGCCATATAAAGCTTTTTTCGACTCACATACTTTGTTTGCTTATAGATAACCTCCAAATCCCGATGGAATCTTCATATATATTTTTTCTTCCAAATCACCATGTAAAAAAGTATTCTTTACATCAAATTGTTGAAGCTACCAATTATAATTTGTAGCAAAAGATAACAAAATCTTAACTGTATTTATCTTGGTAACTGGAGCAAAAGTTTCCTGATAATCCACTTCATAAGTTTGAGTGTAGTCCTTAGCCACCAATCTAGCCTTATGCCTTTCAACAGTATCATCCACCTTGTATTTTACAGTAAAAACCCATTTACGCTCAACTAGATTTTTTTCTTTAGGTAACTCTACCAGCTTTCATGTCTTATTTTTCTCTAAGACCTCAATTTCTATTTACATGGCTTACCTCCATTTCTCACTAGATAATGCCTTGGATAATGTAGTTGGAATAGAAATAGTGTTTACGCTCACAAGTAAATTTTTGTGGGATGGTAAGAATTTTTTAAATGACACAAAATTAGAGATTGGGTATAGTGGATACTTAGTACATTCTCTGGTTCATATCCTAATAGCAATAGGCAAATCATAATTACTAGTTTTAGTTTTAGGAGATTCATGCTCATTTTGAGAAATAGAGTCAAAGACTGCAGTTACCTCCTTTTCAGAGTTAGGATTAGGTTCTTAGACTTGCACCAGTTTAGGAGTTGGAAGTTTCCTTCTTGAGTACACCTGTAATTCCTTCATAGGATCAATAGCAATATTATCCTTTGTTACAACTTCTTGTTTGGAATGGGCTCAGACTCAAATTTAGTGTTTGGCTTGGATTTAGAAGAAATAGGTTTAGACTCAAAAGAATTAATGAGTGAAAATATTGAGGAGGAAACAAGTTTAGACTCAAAAGAATTAATGAGTGAAAATGTTGATGAGGAAGACAAAAGAAGCAAAAAAAAAAATCTGTCCTTATCTTCCATGAATGAAGTTTTCTCTTCCAGATAAGGTTGAGTAAAAAATTATTTACTTTTTTCAAAAGCAACATTTGTAGACACAAAATTTTTTGGTAAGAGGATGATAGCACTCATACCATTTTTGAATTGATGAATACCTCACAAAAATACACTTAACTACTCTAGGATCCAACTTCCTCCTGTTATGACTATGAACATAAACAAATGATGTGCAACCAAATATCCTAGGTGTGAGGTTGTTTGTGGTATTAAAGTGGGGATAGAATTGTGAGAGTAGTTCCATAGGAGTTTTAAATCCCAAAACCCTTGAAGGTAATTTATTTATAATATGTGCGATAGTAAGAATAGCTTCCTCCCAGTAAAGATTTGAGTACGTTTGCTTGAAAAAGTAAAACTCAAGTTGTGGCTAATAAATGACTATTTTTTCTTTCTACCACTCAATTTTACTGTAGAGTATTAACACAAGTTGGCTCATGGATAATCCCTTCTTTTTTGAAATAGGTAAATAGACTCTGGTTGAAATAGTCTCTTGCATTATCAAACTTAAATCTCTTGATTTTCATTCCAAATTGATTTTGAATAATGTTTTGGAAGCTTAAAAACACACTATTCACATTTGACTTGGATTTAAGTAAAAATATCCCAAAGACCCTGGTTCAATCATTTATGAGGAAAATAAACCACCTTGCATCATAAATATTAGAAATTGTAGAAGGACCCCATATGTCACCATAAATCAAGTAAAAAATGGTAGAACTTCTTTTGTTACTAATTAAAAAAAACACATATATGCTTTGCAAGTTCACAAACATCACAATGATATTTTTCAACATTTAATCCTTTAATCAAAGAAGGAAATATGTTTTTCAAAATTTCAAAAAAAAGGATGTCTAAAATTAAAATGATAAAATCAAATTTTGTCTTTATTGAGAGATTTTTCAAAAAGAAATGACAAAGGTAAATTATTCTGAATATTACTTGTGTTGTTTGATGTATGAAGATAGTATAGTCCATCATTTTCCTTAGCAAGTCCAATCTTTTTCACCAAACTTTGGTCTTGAAATTCACAATAGGAAGGATAAAAAGTCACTTTGCAGTTCATGTCTATAATAAGTTTTTGTATGGACATCATATTAGTAGATAATCGAGAAACATAAAAAAAATTTTTAAGAATAAACAAGGGATTAATTTGAATATCTCCTAATTCTGCCATTGTAGTAAGGGAACCATCTGCAACAACAATTTTCTTATGACTAGAACATAGGGTATATGTACTAAACTTCTGTGAGAAATGTGTCATGTGGTCTATGGTTCCTGAGTCAATGAGCCAAGAATTCATAATAGGTATAATCGAGACATTTAATCCATGAGAATCAAAGACTTTACTTGAACTAGAGCCCTTACCCAAGAAACATACCCCAGTAGGGTTTTTAAGGGTTTTAAATAGGCCTCACAATTTCTAAATCTCTTCTTTGTCTAATTACCTTGTTCCTGAGATTTCTATAGTACTCCAGTGGTTTTATTAGTTAACATTTCCTCAAATCGAGTGGTAGCAATAACAAATTTTGTTATCTTTGATGTTGTTATCTTTCTTTGAATTTAAACAAGTCTTAACAACTAAGATATAATCAGAAATGACTCTTAGTAATGAAGGCTAAATAAAAGAAAAATAAGATGGCTATGAAAGCTTTAATAGGATTTGGCAATGAAGGCTTAAAATAAAAGTCAGCAATGAAGGCTAAAAATTTTGCTTCTTGAAAAGAGCCTAAAGCTTTGATGTCATGTGGAAAAGCTAAAAAATAAAATTGTATGAAAAATTAAGAGTAAAACTGAATGTATATTAAAAAACTTCTCTTAAGAATTATACAAGTACCTTAAGTTTACAACTAATTAGATGGTAAATTAAGAAACTAAATCTTCCTAAAACCGATCATATAATTGAGGGATTATCTATCCTAGTTTTTTGTCCTTAATTCTAGGGATACAAATGCTTAATTTTAGAAATTCAAATATAAATATATAGATAACAAGATTGAAACCAACTCTAACTAAGTATTTTCCCACAAAGCTGTTTTCAATAAATTATTGTGATAAATTATTCTAATTTCAAGCATAGCTGAAATCTTTGGTTTAAGATTATTTTCGGGCATATATATATTTATGTGCTAAAAGCTATATCTTATATTTGTTTGCCTAAAGGTTTTTACCAACTAAGACAAACAGGAAGATAAAGGTGATTTACAGAGATATAAAAGACTCACTTAAGGAAATGATAAAGAAGAGAGAGAAGGCAATTAAAGCCGGTGAAGTTAGTAATGATGACTTATTAGGCTTACTTGTAGAGTCCAACATTAAAGAAATTGAAGCACATGGAGATCACAAGAATATGGGAATGAGTATTGAAGATGTGATTGAGGAGTGCAAGCTGTTCTACTTTGCTGGCCAAGAGACCACCTCAGTTTTACTGGTTTGGACAATGATTTTGCTGGCAAGGTATCCAACTTGGCAGTCAAAGGCTAGAGAAGAGGTTCTGCAAGTTTTTGGTGACAGTAAACCAGATTCTGATGGCCTGAATCGTTTGAAAGTTGTAAGTATCCTGTCCTTGAAATTGTTATATGAACCCTGTCTTTCTAAATTCTCTACCTGTATTGCTCCATATAATATATATATATATATATATATATATATTTGCATTTGAGGTCATCAAGATTTGAATCCTGATTATTAGAACTAAGAGTTTAATACTCTACCAACAGACCATCAGACCATGCGGTTGCTCCATATTTCATTTTCATATATCTGGGATGTAATTCGAAACCTTAACTTAGTTGAAAGCAACATTACCCGCACCTAGGACTAGGATTAACACATCATTTCTTTATTTAGCTGTTTGATTAGTAAATCAGTATTCCCATATGGTTGGAATAAGATCATGTTATTTTGGGTAGTGAATTCTTCAACCAAATTTAGTTTTCTAATTGAAAATGCTTCTTTGTATTACTCTCAAGGTCCTGCGGTGAGGTCGACTACTCAAAAATAGCAAAACTCCATAAAGTTTGAGTTATAATAATTTAACTGGTACTGCAACTGCGAGTATAGTCAGCTTCATTCTTGGAAACGGAAAATCAGACCAATTAGAAGCCAGCTTTTCTAAGTTACTTGTCACATTTTTATAATATCTTCAATGCTACAGGTAACAATGATCTTGTACGAGGTTCTTAGGCTGTACCCTCCAGTCGTTGCTCTAGCACGTTCCGTTCCTAAAGAAATAAAACTTGAAAAATTGTTGTTACCAGCTGGAGCAGAAATTTCACTTCCAATCCTCCTCATTCACCATGATCAAGAACTTTGGGGAGATGATGCACATGAATTTAGACCTGACAGGTTCTCAGAAGGGGTTTCGAAATCGGCAAAGAATCAAGTTGCATTTTTCCCCTTCGGATGGGGTCCTAGAATCTGCATTGGACAGAACTTTGCTCTGATGGAAGCAAAAATGGCGCTTGCAATGATCCTGAGACAATTCTGGTTTGAGCTTTCCCCTTCTTATGCTCACTCTCCTTGCTCTATTTTTATTCTTCGTCCTCAGCATGGTGCTCACATAATTTTACATAAACTCTAGGTACTAACAGGATATTCATCATGTAAAGGTTAGTTCTTGAAAATGTAGCATTCCAATGAACAATGGTGTGATCTATTGATAAAATGTTGAACTTTTAATTCTAGTGACTAGGATTCAAATCCTTGAAAGTCTCAATTACAAAAATGTAGCATTCTTAGCAAGAATAACAAGGATGAACTTGCATCAGAACATACATTTAGGGGTACATGTCAATTAGCCTTCCCCTAAAAAATTAAATTAGACTTGACCAAACAGTGCGCTTTGCTTTCCGAATATCTTGATGTTTGCTTTCAAGCAATTCCCAAAAAATAATGGCCAGAAGCGATTTACTTTTGCCATAAGGGTCAAAAACATCTTGGAATAAAAATTCAAAAAATCGTTGAAGTCCTTAATGTTTTATTGTAATTAATAAATTTTAAATTTTTTATTTCGAATCAATTAAATCTTTAAACATTTATTTTCATTCAATTACCTTTATATTTTTATTTTATTCAATTAAATCTTTGATTGAATAAAAATAGTTTATCAATTTTCCTTTGACAAAGATTCAATAGATAAAAATAAATATTTGAAGATTTTATTAATTAAAAAAATAAAATTTAAATGATTATTAAATTTTAATTCAAAAAAAAATTTTTTTTTTTACTTTTACTTTTCAAGCAACTTTTAGCCCAATAAAATTCATAAGACCAGTTAATTACTATGAAAAAATTAATTGTCACGAAGAGTTTTGAACTCAACCCGTGACATAATTACGTTGGTAGAGTGCGTGATATTACCAAAGCATGGGAGCAAACCAATCGGTTTGAGTTGGGAAGGTATACTGATGACATAACCTCGAGATACTTGGTATGAAAAGTAAAACAGGTTAATGATGTAGTACTCCCTCCAGATGATGGTTTTGCTCAAATAGTTGATCAATGGGCAAACGTACCACCATCAAAGATTGAACTTGCGAGACTTGACTTTGGGGCAGACAAAGAAAGGAAGCGGAAGGAAAATCTAAGACTCCAAAAAGAATTGGAACAATTGAAATATGGAACCATTGTACAGGAAAGCCAATTGTAAAATCTCGCAAAAGATAAAGATGTGATTCGGGGTGACCTTAAAAGAATTGCATGAGGAAAACAAGAGGTTAAAGGGTTAGTTGGAGGACAGAAAGATCAGACCTGATACCAGACAGCAAAAAGAGACTAATGAGCTTTGAGAATGGATACAGTTTTGGAAACGCAAAGCTACAAAAAAACAAACAAAAAGCTACTCAGCTTGCCGAAGAACAACAAAATTGGGAGAATTTGTTTTCAACCAATACGGCTAGGTTGCTAGAAAGCCGAAGAGAAAGAAAAACTGAAGACAGAATTGAAGAGGGACAAGAGGAAATGTCTAGAAATGCAAGGAAAGAAGGATACACTTTACCAAGTACGTAGTCAAAGGGTTAGAGCAACAGCTGCAAGAATATAAGAATCATATCACAGTAATGCAGAATGAATGGCAAGAGAAAGAATTAGGTTGGCGGTACATGTGCGATTTGGAGATGGATGCCTGCATGAATTGGAAAGCTCAATGAGGCAAATGTATATAGATCACTTAACTATTCAAATTCGCAAGGTAGTAAGGAAGGCGAGAGAAATTATTGTAAAACCAAAAGCTCTACAATAAAAAGTTGCCCTAACTAGTGGATACGGGCAATGTCTGATCACCTTTTTAAATGAAGCCAATGAGAAATATGAACAAGTTGAATGTTGTTATGGATCTAATTCAAGAATGGTGGATGATATGTAATCTTGACTACCTTGGAATCAATGAAAGATCCTTTTGTTTGAAATGTCTAATAGTGAATATCTCTCAATACATACATCCATAACATGTACGTGACCCATTTTTAAATTAACCTATGAAAAAGGACGATGGCTATAAATATACTTTCATTGAACCTTTAAGGCAAGAAAAAGGATTTTGTAAAGATCCTACTTAGATATTGGAGGATTTTAAGGAACCTCTTTTACAGCAAATAATGGTAACTTGATATTACATGTTTAAGCATTTCCTAATGCATTTGTGTCAAACAACCATAATGCACATGCAATTCATTATTAAGCTAGCCTAAGAAAAGAAATGATAGCTGTAGATATACTCTCATCAAATCTTGGAGGCAAAAAGTGATTTCTTTGATAATCCTACCTAGATAATGGGGGATCTTAAGGAATCCCTTTTATGGCAAACAACATTAATTTCATACCATGTGTTTCTAATTTATAGTAATTAATAAAATGTTTAAGGATAGCTCGACCTAAGAGTCTAAATCATTCCGCCTTTCATACGTACAACACACGAGCTCAAGCTAAAATCATGAAAAACAAACAGTCAGCCAAATTGAAAGGGTTGAAAAAGCTCTAAAGAAGATTAGAGAAAGGGTGTTTGAGAAGTAAGAGAGTATAATGGAACTAAAACGACTGTTGTTAAGTTTGTCAAAAGGTAAATGAATCATTGATACATTTGAATCGAGAGAAGAGGTCAATGCTGAAGAACCATTATACCTTCTAGGATTTACTCTATCCCATGTACAAGCTTCTCGAGGTATATATCAACAGCCAACAATAGGGTAAACTTATACCTATAGGGTCCTTCTGCCAGTCCACCACCAGTTCACATGCATGCCAACCCGAGATCCAGTCTTGTTGATCCTATCCTAGTATCGAATTTAGATGACCCTCAGGAACAGAAGAAGTTAAGGGGCATGCCAAAGCCAACTGAGAACACGGAAATGTAAAACATGTATGAACAACTTGAAAAAAGACTTAAGATGGTGGAAGGAAATGATATCTATGAAAGCACTGATGCAAACGAGCTTAGTCTGGTACCAAATTTGGTCATCCAAGCCAAATTCAAAGTCCACAAGTTTGAAAAATATGATGAAACCCAATGTCCTTTTACCCATGTTACAATTTTCTACCGTAAAATTACGGGCACACTCATAATGACAAGTTTATTATCCACTATTTCCAACCCGATTTATCTTTATGTTGAAATTTTTCTACATTTATCTTATTCTTTTATTGTTTATATTTTTCATTATATTCACACGCGAATTTGATTCTAGCTTTTTGCCTACACTTTCTAAATCAAAGTTTTTAATCACTATCACTAAACCAATATCTTTTCTCACTTGTCTTACCCAAAAAAATCAGTACTTCTCTACTACAAAATAAAAGCACAACAATTTGATTTTGCATCTACATAAACAAACATTAAATCATAATTCTTTACAAATATAATCTTACATCTTCAGTGGTAAATAAAAAATTACAATTGTAGTTGGTATTTAAATTATTTGGTTTATACCACACTATTATTGCATTTTAAGAATTATTCTACATGTTAATCAAACAAAATTAGAATTCTTAAAAAGAATTCTTTCAAAAATTGATATGTTTTTCGAAAATGCATTTCTAGTAAATTAAGAATGTTCCCGAAATTTAATTTCTAGTAACTTTACTTTTGAAAATACATTTTTAGTATATATTGTGAATTTTTGAAAATTTGATTTTGCATCTACATAAACAAACATTAAATCATAATTTTTTACAAACATAATCTTACATCTTCAGTAATAAATGAAAAATTACAATCGTAGTTGGTATTTAAATTATTTAGTTTATACCATACTATTATTGCATTTTGAGAATTATTCTACATGTTAATCAAACAAAATTAGAATTCTTAAAAAAAATTCTTTCGAAGATTGATATGTTTTTCTGAAATGCATTTCTAATAAATTGAGAATGTTCCCAAAATTTAATTTCTAGTAACTTTACTTTTGAAAATACATTTTCAGTATATATTATGAATTTTTAAAAATAAATTTTTGATAAATACAAAAATATTTCGGATATGTATGTTCAGTAACTTAACATAGTTTTCAAAAAAGTATTTTTGGAAAGTTTGAACTTTTGAATTTAAAGATAAAATCAACTTACTGTATCATCTTTCTCCCAATCCTCATCCCCTAATTTTCAATGCTATAGTCGTTTACCTTCAGTTCACTTTCCATTGTGACAACTTCCAAAAAAAATTATAACTTTTGGTTTAGATTTTTCACAACAATCTAGTTGCTCGCCGAGAAAAAGAAGAAAAGAAAAAAGTTGTGCTGGGAAGAAGACTAACAAAAGAGAACAAAGGTACATAAAGGGCAAAATTGTAATTAAATTATGGGTATTTAAATAATTTTATTAAACTTGAAAAAATTGGGGTGTGTTGAGAAAAATGTGGGGTGCAAATAATCCCATCCTTACTTTATAAGGAGATAATTAAGGTTGATTTTCTATTTTGCCCTTAAATGCCATTTTTTTAATTTAAAATATCATTATTAAAGACATTGAATTATTACTTTAAATTAGTGATATTTATTTGGTCAGTTTGATTAATTTCGAATCAAATTACTCAAAATTAAATTGATCAATTTATTTTATTTTATTTTTATTAATCGAATTAAATTTTAATTTAAAAAATTAATCAACCGAAATTCATTCAATCAATTAAGTTAATTTTTTTGATTAATCCAATAATAAAATATATTAAGTTAAATTATTTTTTTATATGTGAAATAAATTAAATAAAATCATCAAACAAAAATATTCAAATCCCAAAATATTAAGTTAAAAACTCTAATAACTTGAAATGAAATAGATAATTTCATATATTTTTAATTTTATATATAATTTTTTAATATTTTGATTAAAATTTTAATTAATTCAATTAATTTAATTTTTAAATCAAATTAATCGAAAATCAAAAATTTTTTTAAAATTATTTTTGATAACTAATCAATTAATTGAAATGATATCTCAATAATCAATCAATTAATAAAATTAAATCATTTCGATCGATTCAATTAAAATCAAATTATGAATACTCGTACACGTACGTGCATAATATCCTTAACACCTTCGACTAGGTTCTTTTATAGTTATGTTAATTCACATCCCCAAGTTTCGAAGATTCTAGCCATTTTGGTTAAATTGAAATTTTCTTTTTTTCTTTTTCATTTTTCTGTGGAGGAAAACAATGACCAATATTGTATGAACTCCAAAATTTAATGAAAATTTTTCCTTTTACATTTGGAAAACCATTAAAAGATTTGTACAACACAATCATCGTTTTAATTGACATTGCAACTTTTATTTTCTTTTCATTCTAATAACACAGTTTTAATTGATATATTATATTTTGGTTTATCAAACCTAGAACCAATAAAAGGATTCGTGAAAATTTAACCCCCGACTAAAGCTTTGGTGCAACAAGAAAACCTTCCACCGAACTGTACTGCTTGACCACACGGGGCCTTAGATGCCCAAAGTAATAAATCATCTCCATTCAAAGGAAATATGCATGTATAAGATGTGCAAAACTAAACCCTAAACCCCTAACTGAAGTTTTGGTTAAACAAGAAAACCTTCCACAGCACCGTCCTGCTTTACCAAACAGGGCCTTAGATGCCCAAAGGAAGAAATCGTATTCATTCAACGGAAATATGCATGTATAAGATGTGCAAAGCATTAGCTTTGGTGCAACGAGAAAACTTCGCACTGCACTGTCATGTTTTACCAAACTGGGCCTTAGATGGCCAAAGGAAGAAACCATCTTCATTCAATGGAAACATACATTAGCCTAAGGAATTATTAAGAATACATAAATGTATACAAAAAGGTTCCCATGAGGAAATCAGATAAACATGATTGAACTCCAAACTCGTAACAAAGAGTGGAACATTCGAAACATTGGAGCGGGGTCGAAGATGAGCCTGTAACGGGTCAGGCATTGAATTGAACTCGGCAGATAGCAACAACCATCTTAATCAGTTTCCTACTATTGCCCTTCATCCATTTTTTCCCTTCTTTTTTTTTTTTTTTGCCTCAAGAGTTTGCTATAATAGAGTTAGTAACTTTGAGTTTGACCCCATTTGAAGAAGCTATTTTATGAAATTTTCTGATCAATGTAATCCAACGCTTTACCAGTCAAAACCCAACACAAGCTGAGAGGAGACAGTCCAAACAATGGGAAGCAAATGAAAAGCTTCATAACCAAAGTGCATGATCCCAAAAAGAATCAAAAACAAAAACAATAGATCAAAACTGTACAGCAACTGAATTATCATCGCAACGACAATCAGCAATATTATTTCAAAGTAGCACCAGAAAAGGCAATCCTCCTTCATAGATTGGAATAGAAGTTTTCCCTTCATGCATTTTCCAGTAAGAACATTCGCACAAGTCTATATCTGAAAAGAGATGGACAGCAAACTATATGCCTTGAAAGTAAACTCTCATTGACCCAATGACCCAAAGCTGTTAGGTGGCCATACCTAACAAACAAGAGGTTAAAAGAAAGCTTTAAGTAATTTGCGAAATTTTACCAACAACAGGAAACATATAAAAATAAATAGAAAGACTTGGCGAATTGTGCATCTTAGCCACCATTCGAGCAATCAATTTTAAGTGTAGACATGTCAAATATAGCAATATTCATATCCATGTTCATGAACATTGCAAGTTGATCCAACATAACCTCAATGTATTGAATACATAATACTTTTCTAAATCACTTCACATGCAAGATTATCAATGAAGCCTTACTTATCAACTATCTGCACTTATTTTCAATTCTTTCAGCAATTTGGCTAAGTTCATTAAGCCCAGGCCTAAAATTATGTGAATCAAACATTTGATTCTTTGGAGACAAGTTGAGTCGTGTCTGAGTCTTCTTAAGATGGACAAATCTTAACTGCAACCTTTCAAGCCAAAGCTACCAAGACAAACCATGTTTACTGCTTTATCATGAATCCAATTTTGATCGTTTATGCACATTCATATAAAAAAATTACATCACAGTCCACCTAAAATAGCAAGTCCCAACCATAAAATCCTAAATCATTTAAACTGGTTAAGTTCAGAAATAAGGCAAGTGAAACCAATTTAGTTGAGTCTGCTAGAATGGTCTCTGCATTTTAAGCATTAAAATTTTCTTTGCAAAAATCATGGCAAAATATGGTTTTTATGATACACAAGTACTAAAAGTGAAATGAATCGAATTCAGGGCAAAAAGATAAATGCAGATGCCAAACAAATCATACACTAAATGGCTCTATATTTATTAACATATGTCCTACATTACCAATTCCAAAAAATAAAGATAGTGCAAATCAATATTGCAAACAAAACCAAATGCAATTAGAATTGCACAACTTACCCTGAGAAACACTTTCCCTTGAATAAGACCATAAGGAACAGGCCCGAAATGCCGTGAATCCGTAGAAGCATACCAGTTATCCCCTTGAATCCAAACATGTCCCTTTGGAACCTATCCATTTGTACCCAAAGTAAAATGACAGAAAAAAAAAAAAAAAAAAAAAAAAAAAACCATCCAAGAATCTAATCTTATATACTTTTCTGCAAAGTTCCAATTTTTACATCTTCCAATCTAGCCAATGCTCCATTCAGTTGTTACTTTTACTGCTTTCTTGTGCTAATTGTTTTAGCTACATAAAAATACAAATTTTAACATAATTTTTCCATATTAAAAGAACATGCATTTTGTTCTTAAAAAAATTAGATTTTTTATTTTTAATTATGAACAAATATCAGAACTATTTGCTACTAATTGTGAATCAAATGGCAAAAACAACAATCCGGAGCCTAAACTTTTCATCATTTCAACAACTTTAATTTTTCAATAAAAAAAAGTAACAACTTTCATTAAACTACAATATTCAACAATAAAAAAAAAATCTGTAGAAATTTCAAAATAAGGCAGATCCAGTTAGGAGGAGGAGGGTACCACGAGAGAACGAGACCTGTAGTCTCGAGTGGGGTCTCGAGGGGGGTCTAAGCAAAACGTTACTTTATCACCTTCTACGGCAAGAATACGCTTAGTCAAGGTCTTTCTAGGGTCGAGCGGCGACCGAACCAGAACCAAATCACCTGCACCCACTTTGCCAATTCGGTGAGACAAGTGTTCCACTAGTACAACATCGCCATTTATGTTTAACGTTGGGAGCATGCTAGGACCTAGAACCTGCATAACAAAATTTTAAAAAGAATAATTCCTAAAATAAAATTTAAAAAAGGTAGGGGACTGTTTTTGATAAAGATGCATACATGTGTAAAGGAGAAGAGGTAGGAGTCGGTGACGTGAAGGAAGCTGAGAAATTTAACGACGATGGAGACTTGAGCCACGGCTTCTCTTGCTATGCTTCTCCATTGTCTCATCTTCTGGTTTTTTTTTTTCTTTTAGTGTCTTCAAAATGTAAAGTCAGAAACTAAAGTCGGGCTGCCTGGGTTTAAGTTAGTGTTAGACAGGTAAATTATGTAGGTTTATATTAATAAATTAATAAAAACGTTCCTATTTTATAATTTAATTACACATCTGACCCAAAAATTTTGGTTTTTAATTAAATATGTTAATAAAAAATTCTACAAACACGATTTATACATTTAAAACGTGTTAAATTTTAATTAAATACTTTAATTATTTTTTAAATGTTAATTATTTTTAAAAAAATTTAATTTAACTTTTAATCCTCAATTTCTATTTATTTAATTCACGTGAAAGGATGTTACGCTTTTAACTTTCTTAAATCCCCTTCAAACATTTGTCCTCCTATTATATCAACTAATGCTCGATTAGAATGTTAATTATAAATTAATGATTGATTTTCTTTTTGTATTTTTTTATTTAATACTCAAATAAGATTTTTAATTTTTTTAAAAAAATAGATATAAATTTTCAACCTTTTATTGCATATAAATAAGTTTATAATTTTTTTATTATAAATAAAATCTAAAACTTTCACAATTATGTAATGAATTCTAATTCCATTAAAAGAGATTAACTGTCATTTATTTTGCATAACTAACATCATATGTGAAATATGATATGGACTGATGACATATCATTTTGATTGAATAAAATATAAGTTTTTGACTTTTTATTGTATTTTTAATTTTTTGAAATTTTTTGAAATAAAAAATATATATATATAAATGAAAAATGAAAAGAAACTTGGAAAGAGATTTAAATTTTTCCTAAATTAAAAATACCTAAAATTCAAGTTTAGAATTTATATCTAAATTACAAAATTTTATATTTTTTATTTCAAAAATACAAATTTATGAAAAAAATATTTGTTGATATTTTTCAGAAATAAAATTTTACCATAAAAATAGTTTTTTAATATATTAAAAAAATTATTTTAAAATTTTACTTTTGAAAAAAAATATTTTGAATTTTTAATACAAAATTTCTTTTCATTTTTTATTTTCCAAAATTGTAATTTTTTCAATTTTAAAAATAAAAATTTTAAGAAAAAATATTTGTTTTTTTTTTTTTGTCAAAACTAAAATTTTATTATAAAAGTTAAAATTTTTAATTTATGAAAAATGCTTAATCCCTTTCTTTATTTTCTTTTCTTTTTTTATTTTATGATTTTAAATTTTTTTCCTTATTTTTTCAAAACAAAAAACCAAAAATTTTAAAATGTAGTAAAAAGTCGATAACTTTTATTCATTTTGTACAAAAGGTTGAATGCATATTTGCATGTTAAGCTTTATTTAGTCAAAATAACTCATCATCAGTCCACATGGACATCTTTACACGTAGGATGCCAACTATACAATACAAACGGATGTTAGTTTCATTTAGCAAAATTAAACTTAATTATGCAATCTTAAAAGTTTATGATTTTATTACAATAAAATAAAAGATTAGAAACTTATTTACAGGTAATAAAATATCGAAAACTTATATCAATTTTATACAAAAAGTTGAAGATATATTTAAGTATTAAGCTATTTCTACTATTATTATAATGGCTGGCACAATATGAAATAAAATAAATTACTTCTCTTGTCAAAATCTGTTAGTCTCTTATGAAAAAAGTAATTTTAATAAAAAATATATATTCAACATCTTTACAATATTACATAATATCTTTTTTTCGGATAACAACGTGGTCAGTCAAAATATTAAATTTTTAATTTTAATAATCAAGTTCAAATTCTGATAATTTCAAATATAAAAAATGAAATACATTATTTTTTTTTCTTCAAATTTGGTGTGAAGTGGTTTTGCTAAACAAAGTTATCTAGCATACTTGAACATGATCCCAGGCATTTTCAAACCAAGTTAATTGATGATCAACACACAATCTTGAAATGAAAAATTATTAGCTCCATTGACCTCAATTGTGCAACAACGAAATAGAGAATTATTTTTTCTCCAGACCAATCTATAATTGAATAAATTGATATTAGGAGCTCAAGTCAAAGCTCAATATACCTTGTATGAAAATACAACAGCAAGGAACCTGGGATTCAGCAGGACTAACCGATTAAGAAAGCTTTTCTATACGGCTAGAGGCTTCAACTTCGAGCATTCTCTTATTATGTCTTGGCTGTGTTTTCGAATAATGTTCAATATACCTCCATCTAGGAATTGCTTGAACTGTGAAACATATCCAACTAATCAATTCTTTCAAGGTTAAACATCACCATATTTTCAAGAGCTAACCGAAACGCACTCTGAGGAAGACATTGTAGATTCTTAATGGCAAGATCAGCTTTCACTTTCGCTAATTCTTGCGCTCTTTCAATTCCCCCACATTTCTTAACCATTTCAATTGCTTCATCAACGGAACCGGTCTCACAGAACTCGTATTCAATGAGTTCTCTAAGTTTTGGCTCTTTTTCTAGAGCAAAAATTACTGGTGCTGTTAGGTTGCCTTTTGCTAGATCACTACCCGCTGGCTTCCCAAGTTGCTCCGCTGATTGTGTAAAATCCAATATGTCATCAACAACTTGGAATGATAAGCCAAGATTCTTGCCGAATTCATACATTTGCTCAGTAACACTACGATCAGCCCCGCTGAAAATAGCAGCTCCTTTGGTACTAGCGGCAATAAGAGAAGCTGTTTTGTAGTAACTCTTCAGCAAATACTCCTCAAGTTCAAGGTCACAGTCAAACAAACTAGATGCCTGCTTAATCTCACCACTTGCAAAATCCTTAATAACCTGCAATATCATTAATAAGGATTACAGTTTAGACTAATTTAACAAAAATATCAATAGTTTGAAAATGGTCTCGATAGCTGGAGCACATTTTCAATCCCTAAACGTGGAATATTTGAATCAAATACCAAATACCCAAGTTTACATCCAAAAGAGATCATAAATGTTTGGCATAGGTCATATGTACCTGGCTTATGAGTTTAATGACTTCAAGGTTTTCAAGATTTGCGAGGTACCATGAAGACTGAGCAAACATGAAGTCCCCTGCCAGTACGGCTACCCTTGTGCCGTATAGTTGGTGAACAGTTTCTGTCCCTGCAGTTAAGTTACAGCAGTTTCAAATTAGCAGTCTCCCAAGTGATGAAAGACTTGAAAAAAGGATACTGAAGAAATTCAAGTTCTTTCCATGAGTAAAAGATTTCTATCATTAATAACCATTCTTGAAAATGGTAGATGCACCAGTTCCTCTCCCTAACATGCACTGACAAGAATGGTGGCCAGAATTTTTGCCCCTCAATCACCGGCACAATCACCAAATTTTGCTATCTATCTATGGACTATGGTTTACATAGATGCCCGACAGGTACATAGTAATTCCATCTGTAACTGTTGAGTCTGAAAATAGAAACATTTTCTTTGCCCTTAGCCAAGGGTACTGAGCACTGAAATATAAACTCACATATAAGATGTAAACAAATATCAATGTATGGATTTTCCAACATTTTTCGGCTATTCCATTCTCAGAACAAAAACTAGAAAAGACTAGGCACTCAAAGAAAGGAAACAAGAAATAAGTTCAAGAGAGATGCCAGCAAGATAGAACAAATCTCCTAATCCATGTCAAAAACAAGGAGACAAAATAGAATCAAAAGAGGTGAAAGAAGCTCAAGATTGACAAGATTATACGTGACAGGACTCAAAATTGCTTCTAAAACAACATCTGGTAATTTTCACGTAACCGTTTAAAAACTAAGAAAAATGAAAAAAATCCCATTGTAAAATGCAGAAAAAGTATATATTTTTTATACTCAGAACTTTCCGTTCTTAGACTTTTCTTTTCCATTTTTCTGTTCTAGAATCAGCACACTTCTTGATAAAAGAGATTATCCCCACAGGATTCAGTAACTTAGCTAACAAGTCAGAACTCAAAACCTTCAACTATGAGATAGAGTTAGCATAAAGTAACTTTGCACACCAAGATGATCTACCGACTGGAAAAAAAATCATTGCAGTGATTTCCCCAGTCCATGCAAAGAATGAAATCTATAGCATTAGTCATGTGCAAAAAAGACCAATAACCACAGACTATATATTAGACTTTAATAGAAGAACTAATATCTCTTTGGATTTGAGATTGCTGCTATTTAACGTAGAAGACTTGAATAGAAGAACAACAAATTGAGCACATGAAAAAGATGTTAAATGTAGAGGCCAACCTCTTCGCATGTCACTTTCATCTAATACATCATCATGAATCAAGCTTGCAGTATGAATCATCTCAATGATCTCAGCTAAACGCCGGTGCTTTGCAGTAAGGTCCCTGGAAAGAAAGCAATACAAGATGGAATTCAGTCAAATACTATAATTAAAATTTGTTGAATATCTTAGAAAGCGTTCTGAACATTACTTCAACCCAACTAACTCTGATGTAGCTCTTGAAACTAAGAACACCAAGGCTGGTCTCATTCTCTTACCACCAGCACCAAAGATCTGCTCAGCTGCAGACATCAGAACAGGGTTCTCTGCACCAACAATCTAGCAGAGCATCATCATCAGATACATAACAAACATTAAGATCTTGAAAGAAGTAAACAAATCAGAATCAGATTAAAATGGTTGATCCTTCCATGTGCAGCAGACAATAATTAAAAGAACTTGGTGATGCTAGGCAATGAATGAGAATAAAATACAAGGAATAGTTGCAGGAAATGTAGATAACAACCAATAAGGGAGCCTCTACACACATAATTATTCAAGCAAACTTTAGAGTCTAAGTTTTTCCTTTCAGAAATAGCATTTAATAAATATGAGTAAATCTTCCCACTTCCAAAAAGAGAATCATGAATCAACCAGCATTTAGTATTTGGACTTATAAGGTTGAAGCTATATACAGTTTGACTCACGGGAAGGAAGTGACATACAGATTATAAGTTCAATTCTTGTGGCATCAATTGATGAACCAAAACATGCAGCTTGAACAAAATTATTTCAAACATGCGGAAAACCTGATATATCATAGTAGCACTATAAAGGACAATAATTAAAGTCCTCAATGATTTTCGCTACCCCAACAATCAAACAGCAATTGTAAGCACTTACTGACTGGAGATTTTGATTTAGAGTCTGGAGGTCATCAGCAACTGCTTCAAACAAGTTTGCCAGTGAAATGGGACTTCTAAGTTCTTTTTTCATATCCAACACAGGTGCAGTTCGTTGACCAACTCCTACATTGATGTCAAAAGTGGACTAAAACTATAATTCCAAAGTATTGAACTCAAATGGATAATAACAAAGTATGCAAAGCAAACACAACCCATTTTCAACAAGAGAAAGCAATAAACTATAACTTCTAATGAACAAAGCATAAGATGAAAGTTGAACTATGCTGGCTTATCACACATAGCACCTAAGCAAAGTCTCAAGAGATTTTTTCAGGAATAAAAAATAAAAAGAAAATGAAAACTAGAAGTAGACAATGACCCCAAGTACATGAATTCCAATCAGTAACAATAAAAGTATAAAACCAATTAAATAGATACAACCAGATTAAAGATACTACAAATAGAGTAATTTTTCTAAATTTTATAGATAATCGAGTGTAAAAAGGAATTTAAGTCACTTATAACCAAAAAAAAAAATGAAACATGAATCATGTTTAGCTATCAAATTATTACCATCAAGCAGAGCCTCAGAAGTTTTTGTGGAGAACACACGACTACTAGTAATGTTTTGCCTGCAATAAACCATCCTTCCAGCTCCATAGCTTTTACTACTAACTTTAGAAATTGTTTTTCCATAATTCTTCACTGAATGCCTTTCAATTGAAGAATTAGAAGAGTCAACAGCAGCCAAATCAAGCACTCTTGTTCCAAAATCAAGATTATGGCATGTCATTGACATCATTCTTAATACCAACGCCCAGGAAACAGCAAAACCTCCAAAGTTTCACTCTTTATAACAAAAACCCAGAAATAAAAGCTCAATCTTTGTCAGTTTCACATAAAACAATTACTGGAATAAAAAAACCAAGATGAAACAAAAACTGGGTATTGACTACAAAACTGTAAAACAACTTCAAAAGAGCTTAAAACGGTGTCTTCAAATTAAAAAGGCTTCATTTTCCTCGCACGAAAAATGTACTCAAAATTTTAAAAGTGTTTAGAATTTTTGGTGGATGAAATGATCCCACATAGGAGCTTTTCTAGTTTTGTCCTAAACTGCTTATCAGTTCAATGAAGAGTTTGAGAGGCTATCGATATTGTGGACAAAAAAGAGAGGAAGAGAAAGTGAGAATTGTTTTAGCACATGTAACACAGGAATGGAATAGAGTTGGAAAATTGTGGAAATGAAAAAGCGGCTTTAAGATTTATCTGTGTCAAAATCAAGAGGCGTTGTAGCAAATCTGCGGTTGGTGGTCAAACAAGAGCCATGTAATACCCTCTCTCCTACAATTGAGTGATCACCACAGATCCGCTTTTCGTAGCCACGTGTGTGATTCCTGTTGGCTATTCTCATTGAATAACATTGATTACGGTAGGTTAAAAAAGAAACAAAGTTAAGAACGATAATTTCTAGGGATGATAATAGTACAGTGCATTTATAATATTAAAACTTTTATTTGAGTCTTATTTTAATTTTTAATTTTTAAATTATTCCAAAATATTTTAAACCTTTTTAAATGATTTCAACAAAGGCTTCTTATTAAATTTTACATAAAAATAAAAAAAATTATAAATTAAAATAATAGATTTAGAAATATTACTTTTTATTATCATATTAAAATATATTTTTTGAATAAATTATATTTTGTTATCCAAAAACCAAAGAAGTCATATTAATTGTTCAAACCAATCAAGCAACACAAAACTTACGTTACAAATATATCTCTACTTAGTTCACCTCTCTCACATAACTCCTAATTATTAACATGATAAAAAAAATGTTCTTTAATCATGTCATTTTAAATTTCAAACTCTATTTTCTACTACACTCTTCATTTTAAATTTCAAACTCTTTAATAGGATTTAATTATTGCATTAATTATCGCAATTTAATTATTGCAAGTCTTATTCCTAGTTAGCAACCTTCCTGTGCAGGTTGCAAAGTCTCAAAACTTGCTTTCAAATTTCCTTTGAATAGTTGCAGTTGAAGAAAATATAGTTTCTACTTTCTACCTACCGTTTACGCAACACGCAGCTTCAATCTATAATAATTCCCTATGAACTTAGCCTATCCTTAGTAAAAAGTCTATTAAGGACAGCCGTCTAGGCAATAATGGCACACTTGGGAATGTGTAATTGGTACCAAATAAGCGTGTGCCGTGTTACCTTTACTTGCTTAGACCTCAAGTTTTCCTAGGCAACTACATTAAAAAAAAATTTCACCACTAGTGTTCCATTCTATTGCTTCCTCCATTTGCACCAAGGACTTCGACGCAAGACTCCTTAGTTGCAATAGCTTTTTCATACACCAGCTACTACATTGAGTAGCTCGAGTAGCTAACATCTCCCATAAGCTTTTCTCTTTCAGCCGTGATGATGGTGTTTTTGAGTTGCTTTAATTGAAATTAAGGAGATGAGGTGAAAGGAAAAAATAATTATGACTTACAGTTAAAAAACATGGTTAGATGATGTCGGAGTTGTTACTTAAGGCGTTTGTTACTTAAAACGTGCTTTAACACTTAAGTTAATAAAATATTTGAGGTAAGGAAAAAAATAATAAAAGAAGAAAAGAGGTAAAAGTGGTGAAGGCTACGGAGGAAGCTTTAATGGAAGGAGAAGTTTAAAATTTGGTAGATATGTCTTACATTTTTTATCTTTCAATTCCCTTATTTGTGAGGTCAAAAAGATAATGATTTGATTGAAATAATTAATAATTAATGATATATTTACATAAAACTCAAAAATAATTTATTTAAATAATTTTTAATCATATTTAATGATCTTAAATAAATGTGAGTAGTATTTAATAATTTAAATAAATTAAATATTAAATAGTTAACTTTGAAATGATTATCTTAATTGAATGTTAGTAAAATCTTAGATGAATCATTCCTTTAATAATAAACAAACCATTTTCTTTAAGATAAATGACGTGGTTATTTAGGCAACCTAATGACATAGTTATGTTGATCAAATTTTGACAGGTAAACATAACATAGGCATAACAAGGTACTCATGCAATCCACACTACATTCTACGAGAAGATTAACCATAAGTGCTTTAGCATGCAAGCTTGATTCCATGTCAGTTAATCTTTTAGTCTTAAGCTTCTTTATGATTTTGGACTACTTATAATATGACATTTGACTCTCACCCCTTTACTGTGTGACTACCTTTTCAGAAATAGCTTGAGTATAACTGTATTACTTTTTTTATGACCTTTTGAGGAAGTATGAAAGTTATTATCTGTCATAGATTCGAATTGTGTTCTTAGGATATCCATTATTTGTATCCGATTATAAACAATAATTCTTAATTTTATATATTGTATTTATAAATTATTTATTATTAATAGAATACTTTTTTTAATATTATTAATATAATACTTAATTAAATTAATTCATTAAATGTTCTAGTTATAGTTTTCTAATTTTAAATTGTTTTTTATGAATTAAATTTTTAATAATATTATTTAAACTCAATTTTAAATATAAATTTAAATGTCAAACTTTGATAAACAAGTATTTAGTAGGTTCGAATAATTAAGGACTATTCTACAATTATATAAATAAGGCAATGCCCTTTGATTGACTTCAACCAGCAATGCCAGTCGGAGCTCTGAGTTGGGGATGGTGACGCTTGCAAAAGCGCGTGTCCGGCGTTTGGGAGTCCCTAATATCGTTGCAGTGGCGTGTATAGCACACCCATCACGTGTAAACAGCCGACTTATTCTACGATGTTAAGGCCACGGGTCCGAGATCCTACAGCTATGCATACGATGATGCTACAAGCACATTCACATAAACTTGAGCAGATTAGATCTGCCCTGCCCGGCCCGGCATTAACACCGCCCAAGTCAAGTTGATCTTTTTATTTTCAGCTTCTTAAATTATTTCTCATCTTTTGGCGGAAGGCACTCAGACAAAGGTATATTCATCTTCTTTAATTTAATTCTCAATCTTATTTACCTATTTTTTTACAAAGGTTTTTTCCCACTTGCAGTCGCTTTTCTACTTACTATTTTTGCAGAAAAAATTCAGATAATCAGTCTCCTGCAACTTATTCTGTTTTTCCTGTTTTATAGGTATATCATAATATCTCAAGCAAGCTTTCCTTTTCTTTAAACATCAGTGCCATTTGAGAATAATATGACTTCATCTTTGTTGTCAGTTATGAGTTTTAGGGAATTTCACATTAGGGCAATGGGGAGAAAACTATTTGAGTTTGCTATCATGACAACATATATAAATATATATATTTATATAAATAATTAAAGTCATAAAAAGTATAAAGAATTTTTGTGAAATTTTTATGAGGTATCCAATTTAAAAATAATTGGAAGTAGGTGGAGAGTTAATTCTTGATCCTTTCTACTTTAGATAGAGTTGTTTCTTCAAAATTTTGCATATCAATTACCTTCTCAAATGAACTGGTGTTGAACATTTTTATAACACTGACAGGTTTGCATACATGGAGGTCTTAGGATCAATCCTAGAAATTGTAAGAATCATATGGGATCCAATTGGAAAATGTTTCAAGTATCATCGAAGTGTTGAAAAATACATGATGATTCTCCATAAAAAAATGGAAGAATTAAACAGCAGGAGGGAAGACATAGAATCAAGATTGAACATAGAACTTCATTCAGGTAAAACATTGAAGAAAGAAGTCAAACTTTGGTTAGACAGTGTCCAAAAGGTTACTTCTGAACTACATACCATTAGTCAAGAAGTTGGAGAAAGGAAATATCTATCTCGTGCACATTTAGGGAAGAAGATCAGTTTTAAGATTCAGCTAGTGGAAGAACTCCATCAAAAGGGTGCTTTTGGAGACAGGTTAGTAACTGATGCTCCGCCAGGCAATAAAGACATATTGCCAACAACAGAATTAGTTGGTGAAACTACGGTTAGAAGTAAAATAGAAGAGATATGGAATTGCTTGATGGATGATAATTATCGGAAGATTGGAGTTTATGGAATGGGTGGAGTGGGGAAAACAACAATGATCAAACACATCCATAACAAACTCATCAAAGAAACTAACAAGTTTGACAATGTAATTTTGGTGTCTGTATCAAAATCCACTAGTGTTACTCAATTGCAAGATAAAGTAGCCCATGCACTAGGGGTTTGTATGTCGGAAAATGAAAGTGAAATGATAAGGGCTGCTGAGTTATTTGCAATGATGGGAACAATGAGGAAGTATATTCTAATTTTAGATGATGTTTGGGAAGAATTTCAGCTTGAGGATGTAGGAATCCCCGAACCAACTGCAGATAATGAAAGCAAGTTCATTTTAACAACCCGATTGGCTGATGTTTGTTTCAGGATGGGATGTAAAAGAATCAAAGCTGAGCTTCTTACAGAAGAAGAAGCTTGGACCTTGTTTGTGGAGAAAGCTGGTTGTAATATTATTTCTCCTCACATAAAAGCGATTGCAAAAGAAGTAGCAAGGGAGTGTGCTTGTTTACCTCTTGCTATTGTCACAATTGCTAGAAGTATGAAAGGCGTCACTGAATCTTGTGAGTGGAGAAATGCACTAGAAGAACTAAGAGATTCGACAAGGGGGCATCATGACATGAGAAGGGTGCTTGAGCAGCTGAAATTTAGCTATAATCACTTAGATGATGAGAAACATAGACATTGCCTTCTTTATTGTGCACTTTACCCTGAAGATTTGGATATTGGAAGAAAGGAGTTAATAGAGCGTTTGATTGCAGGGGGAGTAATAGATGGAATGAGTAGCAGGCAGGCAGCGTTTGACAAAGGTCATGCTATGTTGAACAAACTTGAAAAAGCTTGCCTTTTGGAATGTGTTACGGACAAGAATGAGAATAATAAACGGGTGAAGATGCATGATTTGATTAGGGACATGGTCCATCATGTCACTGACATTAGTTCCCATTTAATGGTAAAAGCTGGGTTGCATTTGAGAGAAATTCCAAATGAGACATATTGGACAGAGGATCTTGAGATGGTTTCCTTAATGCATAATTACATATCAGAAATCCCTTCTAATGCATCTCCAATGTGTCCCAGGCTCTCGACCTTGTTACTTTCATCAAATCATTGTTTGAGAAGGATCCCAGATCCCTTTTTCTTGCACATGGGCACCCTTCAGGTTCTTGACCTATCTGATACTAGCATTGAAGTTCTGCCAAACTCCATCTCCAAGTTAGAGAAACTCACTGCCTTATTGCTTAGACGGTGTGCAAGGTTAAGGTGTGTTCCACCATTGGACAAACTCATTTTTCTGAGGAAGTTGGACCTCTGTCATGCTGGAATCAAGGAAATTCCACAAGGCCTAGAAATGTTGGTCAGTCTAAGATATCTTAATCTTTATACACCACATCTGGAGTTCTTACCCTGTGGGTCTCTATCCAAACTCTTAAACCTCCAAGTGCTTATAACGTATGGGGCATCAAAGACTTTAAAGGTTAAAGGGGAAGAAGTGGCAGGTTTGAAGAAGCTGGAAATGTTTTCAGGCCAGTTCTACAGTATGCAAGATTTTAATAGATATGTCCATTCTATTAGTACTAGAGGTCGAGAACCACATATGTACTCTATCCGAGTGGGTGAATCACATGCTGTGACAGTTGAGGAAGAACAGGAGTCTTTTGGGAAACATGTAAAGTTAGTTAAGTGCTTCATTGGGAGAGGACACGATGAGCTTTGCCTTCCAAATGGCATTCAGACTCTAGATATGTATGACTGTCATGGTGTTGCTAGTTTATGTGAAATTTCTTCATTGAACAATGCAACTGACCTGAGGTCCTGTGAAATCACCAAGTGTGCTGATGTGAAATGTGCATTCCAGGCCTCCTCAAGCATCCCACTTCAAAGCTTGGAGTCGCTACGACTTATAGATTTGCTGAACTTTGTTTCCCTAAGCTACAAAGTAGGAGCTGTAACTCTTCCCGATGGCACCTTTCGTAATCTCAAAAGCTTTCTTATTAGTCGGTGCCCAAACATTATCAGGCTGTTCACTCCCAGTTTGCTACTGCAGCTTCACAACCTTTCAGTTCTTGAAGTTTCATTTTGTCCTGAAATGGAGGAGATAGTTGCGAAGGAACATGAAGAGGATCATGGCGAAAGCATTAATGAGGACACAGCAACAACAAATCATCCAATGTTAAGGCATTTGTTTTTCTGTGAACTACCAAAGTTGAAGAGTATCTATGTGGGAATATTGCGTTGCGAGTCTCTCCAAGTAATTGAAATATATGGGTGTCCAAGGCTAAACAGACTTCCTTTCTCTCTATATCTAGTTCCCTCAAACCTTGAGAAAATCTCAGCAACAGAAGAATGGTGGGAATCACTAGAGTGGGATCAACCAAATGCAAAGAGTGCCTTTCAACCTTTTTTTAAAAATTGCTTGCCACATCGGATACGGTTCAGAAACAGGTATCACTTTCTTTCAATTTCTATTACCAAGACAAAACTTATGATGTTTCTCTAGGAAGCACGGATACGACTACACGCTAATATGATGTTTTTGAAATATTTAGGACACGACACTGCAAGGATAGGACAATAAAAAATATGTTAAATATATTATATATTTTAATTAATTCAATTTCATACATAAATGATTTTTAGTTTTATTTTTCTTATAAAATCCTTCTCTTTTAAAATTTTTAAGCAATTAAACTAATATTTTATTATTAGTGTTAATTTTAAATAATTTAATTTCATCAGCAAATAATTAAATATTTTTAAATCATATATCTTAATGCTCACTCATAAATTTTAGTTAAACAGAAGCCTAAAAGATATCTTATGCTTTTGGGGTAAAGTAAAAATAATTAAAATGTAATTTGGGCCTATTTCTTGTACAAACCATAAAGCCCAAATCATAGTAAAAAAGCCCATTCTGCCATACATAGGTAGCGCCGCAATTTTTTTTTAATTCTTTCTTTCTTCTTCTTATCTAGGTTTACAATTTAATTCGAATTCATCTGTTTCGACCCAATCCTACCCAAAAGGTTTTTTTCTTTTTTTTTTTTTTTAAATTAAGTTTTGGATCAGGTTTTTAAAAAAAATGGGTATCAGGTAAACTTATCCTGAATTGGTATATATATAAAATATTTTTTATTATTTATTTAATTATTTATTTATATTTAAAAGATAATATTTTATATTAAAAATAATTTATTAATTTTAAGTTAAATTGATTATGATTTTATATACGTGTAAGCTGGATCGAGTCGGATATAAAAAATAATATTTAATTATCAAGTTAGATTGAATTTTAATATTTATTATATAAAATCGAGTTAAATTTAAATGAATAAAAATCTTTTTCATCAGACTTATTGCTATTTTTATTCTGATTTCTTTTTTTTCTTCCATTTCTTCTTCGTCTTTTTCATTGTTTCACGAATGTCTATATTTCTCTTTCTTTTTCGTGATTTTTTTTGAAAAGTGTCTATTGCCTTGTCCAAGCCGTGCCCGATTACAAAATCAATACTTTCTTCGTTCCAAATTATTTAGGTATTGTTGATTTTTACTAAAATAAAAAAAAAGTCTTTGATTTAATATATTTAATATTAAAATTAAAATTTTATGATTTTTAATGTTAAAAAATAAAAAATATATAAAAATAATTTTAAAATATAAAAAAGTAAAAATTTTAAATGTTTAAAAGGGACATAATTTTAAGATATTAAAAAAAAAAAAAGAAAAAAGGATAGAAAGTAAAATGAAAGGAATTTTTAAAAATTTTTTTATCGTATCCAGCCGAATCCGATACATATTTCGGTATGTTTAAACCGTATTGTTGTCATACACTGATGTAAAGGATTCAGCGGTGTCCATGCTTCCTTAGACGTTTCGTTTCTCACTTTAATGCACTTTGAGAATACTTTTATATAATTTGATCATACAATTTCTTTCTGTCAGGAGCATATGACAAAGGATTTCTCTTTTCATTGAATCTGCAACTTTTGGATCGAATTGCTTCTGTCTTGTTGAATGATATTGCTTCTGTACTTGTATATGGTCATATTATTTTCTTAGCTTTGATAAGCACAAAGATATACAGGTACATTTGTCATTGTATCAAATTTCGGTCTTGATTATTTGTATGTATTGATTAAGCTTCGTAGTTATGTGCTTTCATGAACAATAGGTAATATGCAGTGAATTTAAAGTTTTTATAGGTGTGTCGCTTATAATATATATATAATTTTTTTTATAAATTTATCAATTTTATGAACAAAAATAATATTTAATGTAAATTTTAAATTTTTTTTTTTTTCAAGTTTTAAAGTGCTAAAAAATTTTAAAATGTTTAGAAGAAAAATCTTTAAATTTGATTATTTTCTAATTTTGGGTACACTCATAAAAGGTGGATCGTGGTAATATCTGCTTCCTGAAACATTTGCTTTTTATCTATTAAATCAGGAGCTGATTTATTTTTTTGAAAAATTGCAATTTTAATATTTATTGTACTACAAATCTCTCAAATACGACGGTAATAGTCATCGGTGGAGTACCTTTGTGGGAGAGCGTTTTGGATCACCTCTTAAAAATAAAAAAATAACAAAATTTAAAAGAAAAAATTTTTGGGACACTTTCAAAAGTATTTTTTTAGACAGCCTAAAAATTGAAAAATAAAAAATTTGAAAAAAAATTCGCCTTTTACAATTTTTTCTTGAATAAAATTGATAAATTTATATATATGTATATATATATATATAGATATTATAAATAGACATTTCAAAAAGAAAAATCTATGAATCTGTTACTGTTACTAATGGGATGATGGCATTATTTGTGAAGTAGGTTTTAAGAATATGACCATCCATTTGCAGGCAGAAATAAAAAAGTTTTTTTTTTCCTAGAAAAGAGTACTTTCATTCATGAATCAAAGTTTGCATTAGAATTAACAATATGTTTAACCTGATTGGGACATTCTTCAACCCAGGTAGTGGTTTCATGCAAGCCTATACCTAGTTTAGCAGGACAATGTGCTGCTTTGTTACAATCTCTAATGGTGTGGACTATCTTATCATTGTGAAATTGTTGAATCTTTATTCGCGCTTCCTCTATCAGTGTACCAACAGGGGAGAAATTTGACATTGTAGTTAAGCTATCTCCTTCTAGTGTCACATCTGCAAACCCCATTTCCTTTTCAAAGTCCACTGCACTCAGCGCCCCAATGGCCTCTATGGTTAGAGGATTTGTTATCCACGGCCTACCATAACCAGTCCATCAGAGTTTCTTATTATCACTATGCCCCCTCTCCTTTGAGTTGCGCTCACCGCTCCATCGGAGTTGATTTTGTACGTGCCTATAGGAGAAGGTTCCTACTTCTGGTTCCTTTTTATCTGCTGGCCAAAGGATTGTTGTTGAGCAGAGTTGAAATCTTGCCGGTGTTGTTTGGCAAAACTCACTGAAGTTGTGTGGTTCCTCCTCTGCCCACCATGGACTTCACCATTACTGGTCACCCAGGCAGCAATGATCAAGAGCTGTCTCTGCTCTCTTGACCGGTCTTCCATTAACTTCCTTGCCCATTTTGTTATCTGCAGATTTTCCTTTGCTCCATCGTCCCACAGGAATCCTAATTGCCTCCAGACCTCTTTCGCCAGTGGACAATCAAAGATTGTGTGAGACACTGTTTCCTCATCTCCTTCACACCTTGGGCATGTGTTATTGACTTGCAATTTTCGTTTGGATAGGTTCTGCATTACAGGGAGAATCTCTTTTCACGTTCTCCACACGAATACTTTCATTTTTGTTGGGACCTGTGCTGACCACATAATGGACCATAAGGTTGTTCTATCCCATCCCTGTTGGCTTGTTGCTCCTCTACTACCATTTGCCTCTGTTGAAATACATAGCATTTTAGAAGCGCTCCTAACAATAAACTCACCAGAATTTTCGAGCCTCCATATCACCTTATCTGGCACGCCAATTTTGCTGAGCGAGATGGTGCACACTGCCTCTGCCACCTCTGCTGGAAATCTTTCGTGGAGCGCTTCCCAGTTCCACTATCGTGATTGCTCATCCACCAAAGTTGCAACCCTTTCATCCTCGTCCCATCTATCCCTTGCCAAGTTTGGATTGAAATTTACATTAAAGGGCGTCCAATTACCTTTCCAGATGCGCATAGTTCTCCCTCTCCTATTCTCCACCAAGCACCTTGTTAGAGAATACCTTTTGTAGCCCATACATTTCTCCACGTTAAGGAAGGATAGGTTCCCAAGTTGGCTTCCAAAAAAGATCTTCCAAGGAAATAAAATGCTTATTTGTTCTTCTGCTTGAAGATTTAAAAAAAAAAGATTTTATCTCCTACTAAAATAATCAGAAAAGGAAAGTGTAAATGATTTAGTTGTGTTGTTTATTTATTATTCCCGGCATTCTATTATGTTTGTCTTATTGATTTTTGGATCAAACCTCCTTATGTTTGCTTTTATTGATTTTTGGATCAGATGAAACTTAATTTGATTATTATTTTAATAAAATTTAAATGTATTATAAATATTTTTAAAAATAATGGTAGGACGAATGATTACAATGAGTACAATATCATTCGACCAATAAACTAATTTGATGCAAGGTGCAGGTAGTAATTGGAGACTTGAGAATTCTGGCACCGAATTGAGTTAGAATGGATTTTTGTTTAATTCAATATTAAAATATTATTTTCATCTAATTTGTATATTTATAAATTACAATCAATTTAATTTAAATTTAATTTAATAATTTTAATTTAGTGTAATATTTATAAATATTATTTTGTTAATATAAATTACATTTTAATTATATATAAATATAATATTTTTATTAAATTAATATTTTAAAATAAAATATTAAATAATAATTTTATTATATAACATATATATAAATATAAAATTAAATAAATAATAAAAAATATATATTTTTATATATACTCATATTAGATTGAGGTGATACAACTTAAAATTCAATTTCGGTTTGAATTTAATTTTAAAAAATCAATCCATCTCTAAAATCTAATCATATCAAATTCAAATAAATAAAAATTCATCAAACACGAATTGTTTTACTATTTCTAATTCCAACATTTCTACTACTGCAACAGTTGGGCTTAGGCTAGCATTTGCCATGAGTTTCAAAGTAGCAATTCGATGAATTCTTTGATGCAAAACAAATAACCGACAATGGTTAAATGCAATGAAATTAAAGCGATAAATCAAATTTTCTTTAAAATGTTACCAATTAATTCATGAATATATGTGTAATATTATTAAATATCTAATAAAAAATCAGGTAAAAAATTTAATTAAAATTCAATAAATTTATTGTTCAAAATTTAAAATATGCAATACTTCCTTTATCTTAAAACTGTAGCGTCTTTTGTATTAAAAAAATTAATTTGAATATAAAAAAAAAATTTCCACTAGTAGTTTCTAAACATAGTCATGCATAACAAATTCCATCAAAGTTTTACCCTTCCTATACTATATATATATATATATATATATATATATAGGAATTAATAAATTAGGGATAATTGGATAAGATATAAATTTACTACTCTACTTATCTTAGTGGTTCATTATCACTAATCCTTTAACCGGTGTAATTTTACTATTATACTTTTAATTTTAGAACAAATTTACCATCATATTTTAAATTTTGGAGCAATTAAAGATTATTTAATAAAAAATTTTATTATAAATTGTTTTATAATTAAAAAATCTAAAAAATACAGGAAAAACAAAACCAATTGAAAAAAAATGATGTGGTAATTTAAATAAAAAATGTTATTATAAAAAAATAAAAGATTTAAATTTTAAAAATAATGCAACATTATATTTAATAGAAAACACTGTTATAAAAGAAAATAAATAAAATAAAAAGAAATTTCTGATTTTAGCTTTTGTTTTTCTCTGCCATATCATTTTCATAATTAATTTTTGAACTATAAAACAATTTCAAACAGAATTTTTACAAGATATTCTTTAAGTACTTCAAATTTTAAAGTATGATTGTAAGTTTATTCCAAAATTATAAGTATGTTGGTAAACATGCATAAATTAAAAGATTAATAGTAAATTTGAACCCCTCACATAAGTATAATGATAAATTTGTATCTATTAACCATCCAATCTAAAATCAATTGACAATAGATAAAGAGACCTAACTTAAATATAAAAACATAAAAAAAATTAATATTTATAGATGTGAGATAATATTATTTTAATAAACCTTCATCACATATAGGTGAAGATAAAAAAAATTTATTACTTGACAAATTTAGAAGGGAGGTAAAAACAATGAAACAGAACTTAGGTTCTAATATCATGTTAAACCTCAAATTTAAAATCAATTAACAATAGGTGAGAAAACCCAACTTAAATATAAGATCATAGGAAATTCATTATTTAACAAATGCAGAATAACATTACTTTGACAGTACCTTATTCCAATAAATTATTACAAGATTGTAATTGGGATCAAAATAAATAAATTGTGTAATTGGTTATAATTGGAAGATAATTAATCTATTCGTTTACCATTAAATAGATAATAGGGATAATTTGAAAGGGTCATGTTTTATCTTGATATCAATTTTTTTTGGTTGTACGGATGTTGATGGTTTGTGGTAATTAGAGAGAATGATAAATTTGTGGTAATTAGTATAATGATAAATTTTTTTGGTTGTACGGATGTTGATGGTTTGTGGTAATTAGTATAATGATAAATTTGTATCTATTAACCATCCAATCTAAAATCAATTGACAATAGATAAAGAGACCTAACTTAAATATAAAAACATAAAAAAAATTAATATTTATAGATGTGAGATAATATTATTTTAATAAACCTTCATCACATATAGATGAAGATAAAAAAAAATTTATTACTTGACAAATTTAGAAGGGAGGTAAAAACAATGAAACAGAACTTAGGTTCTAATATCATGTTAAACCTCAAATTTAAAACCAATTAACAATAGGTGAGAAAACCCAACTTAAATATAAGATCATAGGAAATTCATTATTTAACAAATGCAGAATAACATTACTTTGACAGTACCTTATTCCAATAAATTATTACAAGATTGTAATTGGGATCAAAATAAATAAATTGTGTAATTGGTTATAATTGGAAGATAATTAATCTATTCGTTTACCATTAAATAGAT